TCTGGGTTAAATCTGGGAGGTGTGTCAGGGGTGGTGTTATGGGAGGGACAGTTTTGGAAGTGGGTGTAACAGCTGAGGTGATGTCCAAATATTGCAAATTAAATGACAATAGAAAGCATAAAGTATCATAAAAATACTGTAATTAGATGACAGTACAAAGATCTAACTCCTATATAGCTCAGGATGCACACTTGGGAAAACATTCCTGTGCATCCAGCATGGAATAAACGAGTGCTTTTTGCTTCCAAAAAGAGTTTTAGGGAGTTATTTCCTGGCTTTTGGGCATCAGAATCCCTGGAAAAGCGAGGGGACAGCAGGGAATGAGGTGACTTACGGCTGGCAGGGGTGGGACAGGGCTCACAGGGCTTGTTCCAGGCCTTGCCAATGTTGTAGGAGCAGCAGCACATCTTCTTGGTCATGTTGAAGGAGAGCTCGTTCTCACACGTGTCGTTGTAGTTGCGGTAGCACACGCTCTTCCTCATGTCTGCAGAGGCAGCACAGGCAGCATTCCCAGCCTGGCACGGGCACTGCCAGCCCTGGGAATGGGTCCTGCCAGCCCTGGGAATGGGTTCTACCAGCTCTAGGAATGGGACCTGCCAGGCTTTGGAATGGGTGCTGCGCCAGCCCTGGGAATGGGTTCTATCACCCCTGGGAATGGGTTCTGCCAGCCCTGGGAATGGGTTCTACCAGCCCTGGGAATGGGTTCTATCACCCCTGGGAATGGGTTCTACCAGCCCTGGGAATGGGTTCTACCAGCCCTGGAAATGGGACCTGTCAGCCTTTGCAATGGGTTCTACCAGCCTTGGGAAGAGGTGCTACCAGCCCTGGGAATGGGTCCTGCCAGCCTTTGGAATGGCAGCCCTGGGAACAGGTGCTCCCACTCCTGGGAATGGGTCCTGTCAGCCCTGGGAATGGGTCCTACCAGCTCTGGGAATGGATACTGTGCCAACCCTGGGAATGGGTGCTGTACCACCCCTGGGAATGGGTCCTGCCAGCCTTTGGAATGGCAGCCCTGGGAAGAGGTTCTACCAGCCCTGGGAATGGGTGCTGTGCCAACCCTGGGAATGGGTTCTACCAGCCCTGGGAACGGGTCCTGCCATTCCAACCTTTGGAATGGCAGCCCTGGGAAGAGGTGCTCCCACTCCTGGGAATGGGTCCTGCCAGCCCTGGGAACGGGTCCTGCCAGCCCTGGGAATGGAAGCTGTGAGGCTTTGGAATGGGCCCTACCAGCCCTGGGAATGGTCCTGCCAGCCCTAGGAATGGGTTCTACCACCCCAGGAACGGGTCCTGCCATTCCAACCTTTGGAATGGCAACCCTGGGAAGAAGTGCTACCAACCACTCCTGGGAATGGATCCTGCCAGCCTTTGGAGTGGCAGCCCTGGGAAGAGGTTCTACCAGCCCCGGGAAGGGGGTTCTGCCAGCCCTGGCAGTGGGTCCCACTGGTCACTCCCAGCCCTTGTGCTGCCCCCCCTCAGCCCCCAGCCCAGCGCCAGGCCCGGGTACAGGCTGGGCAGTGCCACCCCATCCCCATATGGCCCAGTATGGCCCAGTATGGCCCAGTATGGCCCAGCCCCTGCCGTACCCATGCAGTTGTTCCCTCCGTTGACCTGCATGTACTCGGGGGGGCACACGCAGGTGTAGTTGCCCAGGGTGTTGTAGCAGGTGCCAGGGCCGCAGATCCCGATGTGGGCAGAGCACTCGTCGATATCTGCCAAAAACAGGGCGAGTGGGGGGTCAAACCAGCGGGCACGGGGGGAGAGGGCACGACATGGGGTCGGGCAGGCTGGGCACCAGCCCAGAGAAGGGATTTTCATGATTTTGGGGCCCCGGTACCTTCGCAGATCCGCGTGTCCTCGTTGAGGTAGTACCCGAGGGGACACTCGCACTGGAAGCTGCCGAAGGTGTTGACGCAGTTGCCGCCCTGGCACAGCCCTGGCAGCTCCTGGCACTCGTCGATGTCTGGGGAGGGAGAGCAGAGGGAGGTGTTGGCTTGCCTGGCACCCCAGAGGGTCCATCCCAACACCTCCCGGAGCAGGAGCTCATCCCAGGAGAGCACATCCAAACTGTGTCCAGCTCTGGGCCCCTCACTTCAGGAAGGACATGGAGGGGCTGGAGCAGGTCCAGAGGAGAGCAACGAGGCTGGGGAAGGGACTGGAGCACAAGTGCTGGGAGGAGAGGCTGAGGGAGCTGGGGGGGCTCAGCCTGGAGAAGAGGAGGCTCAGGGGAGACCTCCTCACTCTCTGCAACTCCCTGACAGGAGGGGGGAGCCGGGGGGGGGTTGGTCTCTTTTCCCAGGCAACCATCAGCAAGACAAGAGGGCTGGGTCTGAAGCTGTGCCAGGGGAGGGTTAGGTTGGATATCAGGGAGAATTTCTTTGCAGAGAGGGTGCTCAGCCATTGGAATGGGCTGCCCAGGGAAGGGGTGGATTCTCCATCCCTGGAGGTTTTTAAGCTGAGACTGGATGTGGCATCAGTGCCCTGGGCTGGGAACCACAGCGGGGTTGGATCAAGGCTTGGATTGATGATCTCAGAGGTCCCTTCCAACCCAGCTGATTCTGTGATTCAAAGGTGGGCACCCAGCAGTGCCCTCACAGGGTTGGGCTTCCCCAGCACCCCCGGCATGGGGCACAGGATAACTCACCCTCCAGGATGACAGTGATGGGGTTGGGCCGGAATCCTTCCCCTCCAGGGCACAGGGTCTTGTACTCAGCTGTGGAAAAATCAGTCAGGGGGGTCCAGAGCTCGTGGGGGGGCTCCCAGGAAACAGGAGGGGGAGGGAGAAGCGGGAAAAACCCGGGAAAAACAGGCCACGGGGGTGGGGGTGGTGGCAGAGGGAGCAGCCTGACTTCCATGGCCTGCCAAGCCAAATTATCCCTCCTGGCTCTGCCTGCCTGCTGGAATAACAGGGTAATTCCACATCCCCCACCAGACTAGGGATGAAGGATCCCAACCTGAATCCCAACAAGGCACGACCAGCCGGGTCTCCCCCACCCCCCTTCACCCCTCCCCTGCCCTGCCTGGCCCTGCACAGGGTTGCCTCCCTCTCCCTCAGCTTCCCCAGCAAATCCAGGACCCAGGAGCCCCTCCCTGAGTCGAGAATCCATAGGGAAGCACCCCTGTCTCCCTTCCCTGCTGTCCATCCACCGCATTCCCGAGTTCCCCCCAGGCACTGCCCAACTCACTGGTGTTGGCTGGAGGGCACAGCTCGCAGGGGTTGCCCCAGGCACGGCCCAGGGAGCAGCAGCAGGAGGCCCGAGTGACCCCGACTCCGATCTCTGCACTGCAGGAGATCCCCCCATCTCCTCGATCCTGGGTGTCCAGGAAGCAATTCCCGACACGGGTGTCTGCACAAAGACAGCGCTGGGTGAGCAGAGCCCCTCCAGGAAACTTTGTGTGCACAGGAGGAACAGAATCACGGGGTCCCAGACTGGTTTGGGCTGGGAGGACCTTGAGGGTCATGGAGTTCCACCCCTTGCTACAGGCAGGGACACCTTCCACCAGCCCAGGTTGCTCCAAGCCCTGTCCAACAGTGCCTTGGACACTTCCAGGGAATAAGAACAGCCCCAGAGCTTCCCTGGAATAACTTCTTCAAGAAGCAGAGCACCCACATGGGTGACACAAGGTGGGCCAGGCCCAACAGGAGATGGCTCCTTTTCTTCTGGTGGTCAGCCAGCCTGGTAGTGGCCAGTTCCAGCTCTGAGGCACCACCAAGAAGGCCCCCCAAGGTGCTCTCCATGCAGGTCCCCACTCACCCACACAGCCCACCCCGGTGGGGTTCAGCTCGAAGTCCTGGGGGCAGTTGCACAAGTAGCTGCCGGGGGTGTTGACGCAGAGCCCGTTGATGCAGTTCACAGGGTCTGCACATTCATTGATGTCTGAAGGGATGGAAGGGTGCAGAGTGAAAAACAGGGTGAAGATTGGCACAGAAACCACAGCCCTGAGCTCTGCAGGTGAACACCCACACCTTGGGGTTCCTAAGGATGGTCATGGGATGGTCACCAAACCCCTTCTAGAAACAGGCCTTGCCTTGTCCCACCTCCCACCACCCTCCCAGAGGCAGCAGAAAGGAGCAGAGCCACACTGAGCTGTCCCTCCTGTCCCCCTTCCAGCGTCCCATGGGGACACTGAGCTGGCTTTAGGCTGCTGGTGCCACCCAGAGCAGTGCCCCTCTCCCAGCAGCCCTGACCTGTGCAGTTGCCTCCACTCCTGTCCAGCTCATATCCATCGTCGCAGGCGCAGCGGAACATCCCGGGCAGGTTCTGGCAGGTGCCAAAGACACAGATGTTCTGGAAGGTGCACTCATCGATGTCTGCAAAAACAGGCAGAGCTGGGCACTCAGGGTGTGCCAGAGGCAGGGCCAGCACAGGCTTCTCCTGTCCCACCACGGCCCTGCTGGGGGTGACCCATCTCAGGATGGCTTTTGGTGCCATGGGACACCATCTCCTGGGTGAGCAGGACTGCTCTCAGTGCCCTCTCCTCTCACCCATGCCCACATTTTGCATGAGTGTTGCATCAGTGCCCTCTCCTCTCACCCATGCCCACATTTTGCAGGAATATTCCATCAGTGCCCTCTCCTCTCACCCATGCCCACATTTTGCAGGAATATTCCATCAGTGCCCTCTCCTCTCATCCCTGCCCACATTTTTCAGGAACCCTTGGCCTACCCCAACCCCTCTGAAGGCTGGGGACCAACTCCTGCCAGCTGGAAGCTCAGGAGCTTTGCACCACCAGGTGATGGGGGGCCTTAGCAATGGGCTGGGTGGTGACAGAGCAGTGGAGAGGGAAGGACAGAAGGGAGGTGGGCACTGAGCTGGGCAGAACTCCGGGCACTCACCCTGGCAGGCCTTGCTGTCCTCGGTGGGGTTGAAGCCCATCTCGCACTCGCAGCGGTACCCGCCGGGGGCATTGAGGCACTGCCCGTTCTCACACAGGTTCACGTTGTCTGCACACTCATCCACGTCTAGAGAGAGCCAGCAGGACAGTGACACAGCATCCCCCAGCACGTGGCACTTCCCTCAACTCGCCCTCAGCATTCCCACAAGCCCATCCCACCCCTGTCCCAGCTCTCGGAGGAGACTGATCTTGTCCCGTGGAACCTCCCATTCATCAGGGACATAAGCTGCAGCAGAGGGGAACATTTCTGAACTGAGCAAGTACCTTGTGAAAGATGCTCCTGTGGCAGCTTAGATTACAGAATCCCAGAATCCCAGAACATAGTGAGTTGGAAGAGACCCACAAGAATCATCCAGTCCAACCCTCAGCCCCTCTTCTGCGAGGGGGCTGCAGTTCTCCTCATTGCCCTGAGCCTCCCCAAATACATCCTGAGGGGGTGGGGGATCCCTGCTGAGGGGGTGGGGGATCCCTGCTGAAGGTATCTGAGGTGTAAGTGGATTTTGGGGGGACATCTGGGATTTTGGGGGAAGCCCAGACACGCCCCCCAGGGTGCTGAGCCAGACTGGCGGGGAAGAGGGCGAAGGATGAGAAGGAAAGAAGCTCAGAAAAGAGAATGACGTGTCTGCCCAGGAGGAATTCCTCCAGAGGGGTTGTTTCTTCAAGTAAAGCTGCGATAACACGAAGCAAAATTAAATATTCCAAACCACCCTTTGAGTTGAAGCAGTAGGAAAAAAAAAAAAAGGAAGCAAAATGGTTTGGGATCAGGGAGTTATTTTGTCTGGGAGAGCAGCTCCAGGGAATATCCAGCGACTTGGAACTGTGAGAAATAACAATCCCTAAAGGTTTTTTGCTTAAGGCTTGTTACATCTGCATAACGAGCTGTGAGGGGCTTAAACACCCCCCCTGGAGCTGCTGCAGCTTGGATGAGAACACCCCACCACCCCACCACCCCTTTCACGACAACTTTCTAATTAAAAGCCCTCAAACATGCAGGTCCATCCATTGTCTACACTTAAAGAGAAACTGCCAGTGCCCCTGTCAAAGTGGGGGATTTTTGGGGCATAACTGGGATAAAATTCCACGTCCCAGGCCACATTCCTGCTGCCCGTGGCCTCACCTGAGCAGGAGAAGCCGTCGCCGTTGAAGCCCTCGCGGCAGGCGCAGCGGTAGGAGCCGGGCGTGTTCACGCAGTTGGCGTTGAGGTTGCACTTGTGCTCTTCGGTTGCACACTCGTCCAGGTCTGGGCAGGGAGAACACCCCGTCAGGGCTCTGCCTCCGGCCCTGCCCCTCGAGCCTGGGCAGCTCTGGGGGCTCAGGGACGCTCCAGGAGGTTCTCGGGGTGCTCGCGAGGCTCCGACGGATCTCCGGGAGCTTCTCCGGCCTCTGTGACCACGACGCTCGCCCGTGGCCCCAGGTGCCACATCTACACAGCTTTGAGATCCCTCCAGGGATGGTGACTCCACCACCTCCCTGGACAGCCCCTTCCAGGGCTTGACAACCCTCTCCATGAATAAAATTTCCCTAATTTTCAACCTAAACTTCCCCTGAGGGAACTTCTACCAGCCCTGGGAATGGGACCCGTCAGCCTTTGGAATGGGTGCTGCACCAACCCTAGGAATGGGTTCTACCAGCCCTGGGAATGGGTTCTACCACCCCTGGGAATGGGCCCTGCCAACCCTGGGAATGGGTTCTACCAGGCCTGGGAATAGGCTCTGCCAGCCTTTGGAATGGGCAGCCCTGGGAACAGGTGCTACCAGCCCTGGGAATGGGTCCTGTCAGCCCTGGGAATGGGTTTTACCAGACCTGGGAAGGGATGCTTCCTCTTGTCACGGAATCCCAGAACATGCCAGGTTGGAAGGGACCCCCAAGGATCATCCAGTCCAACTCCTGGCCCTGCACAGGCCCATCCCCATGTGCCTGAGAGGATCATCCAAACCCTCCTGGAGCTCTGGCAGCCTTGGGGCTGTGCCCACTGCCCTGGGGAGCCTGGTCAGTGCCCCACCAGCCTCTGGGGGAAGAACCTTTCCCTGAGATCCCACCTGAACCTCTCCTGACACAGCTCCAGCCATTCCCTGGGTCCTGTCCCTGGTCCCCCCAGAGCAGAGCTCAGGGTCTGCCCCTCCTGCACTGTAACTGCAGTGAGGTCTCCCCTCAGCCTCCTCTTCCTATCCCTTGTTCCCTGGGAGCAGAGCCCAGCCCTTCCCTGCTCTCCCCTCCTGTGAGGGTGTCACAGAGAGTGACCCACAGAACCACCTGAGTTGGGAGGGACCCCCAAGGATCACTCAGTGCAACCCTCAGCCCTGCACAGAACCATCCCAAAGAGTCACACCCTGTGCCTGAGAGCATCATCCAAACCCTCCTGGAGCTCTGGCAGCCTTGGGGCTGTGCCCACTGCCCTGGGGAGCCTGGGCAGTGCCCAACCACCCTCTGGGGGAAAAACCTTTCCCTGAGATCCCACCTGAACCTCTCCTGGCACAGCTCCAGCCATTCCCTGGTCCCATCAGAGCAGAGCTCAGTCCCTGCCCCTCCTCTGCCCCTCCCGAGGAAGTTGTAACTGCAGTGAGCTCTCCCCTCAGCCTCCTCTTCCTGTCCCTTGTTCCCTGGGCGCAGAGCCCGACCCTCCCCAGCTCCCCCCTCCTGGCAGGGAGTCACAACGAGCCAGAAGGTCCCCCCTGAGCCTCCTTTTCTCCAGGCTGAGCCCCCCCAGCTCCCTCTTCATCCAACTCCTGGCGCTCTCAGCCCACGTGCCAGCTTAGCCCAGCCCTCAGAGGTGCCCCCAGGAGCTCCCTCTCCCGGGGGGGGACTCACCGTTGCACTTCAGCCCGTCCCCGAGCCAGCCCGTGCGACACTTGCACTTGAAGCTGCCGGGCACGTTGATGCAGGAGGCGTGCATGTCGCAGTTGTGCGCCCCGATCTCGCACTCGTCGATGTCTGCGGGGAGGAAGGACACCCAGCTCAGCCCTCCCAGGGCAGGAGAGAGCAGTCAGGCATGATCCTGCTCCTGGGCTTGGGTTCCAATGGATTCCAGGAGCCCTGAACCTCGGCATTTTGGGGAACAGGCTGCCTGGAGTCAGACCCCTGAGCTGGAAGATGATGCAAAAGGAAAGGTTTGGCTTTCAACTAGAAATAGGTCAGTTCCTGTCTCTAACCTGCCTTCCTGGCCACCTCTGGCTGCCCAGGAAGGGGGTCCAGCTATGATCCTGCTCATGGTTTGGATACCAATGGATCCCAGGAGCCTGAACCTCAGCATTTTGGGGAACAGAAGAGCTGAGCTGTGCTCAGCCCTGGAAAATGATGCAAAAAGAAGAGCAGCCCCTGGCTTGGGTATCAATTAGAAATAGGTCAGTTGTTGTCTCTAACCTGCCTTCCTGGTCACCTCTGACTGCCCAGGAGGAGGTCCAGCTATGGTCCTGTTCCTGGGTTTGGGTTCCAATGGATCCCAGGAGCCCTGAACCTCAGCATTTTGGGGAACAGGCTGCCTGGAGTCGGACCCCGGAGCTGAAGGGCTGAGGAAGATGATGCAAAAGGAAGGGCAGGGCCCTGGCTTGGCTTTCAGCTAAAAATAGGTCAACTCTTGTCTCTAATCTGCCTTTCTGGCCACCTCTGACTGCCCAGGAGGAGGTCCAGCTTTGATCCTGCTCATGGATACCAATGGATCCCAGGAGCCTGAACCTCAGCATTTTGGGGAACCTCAGCATTTTAGGGAGCATTTTTTGTGCTCAGCCCTGGAAAATGATGTTAAAGGAAGGGCAGGCCCCTGGCTTGGCTTTCAACTAGAAATAGGTCAGTTCCTGTCTCTACCCTGCTTTCCTGGCCACCTCTGGCTGCCCAGGATTTGCTCCCAGCACATCCACACCCCTGGGTGCCCACGGCATCCCCCACACAACACCCCAGGCACGGTGCCCTCTCCGTGGCAGCCATGGGAGCTGTCTGGGAAGGCTCCAGGTCTGCTGAGGTCCCACCTGTGCACCCTGTGGTTCCCTTCTTGACGAAGTAGCCGAGCTGGCAGTGGCAGATGAAGGAGCCCTTGGTGTTCTCACACTCGCCGTGCAGGCAGATGTTGGGGTTGAGGTCGCACTCGTTCACGTCTGCAGGAGGAAAAGAACCATGGAACACCACAAGGACTCTGGGGCAACCCTCTGCATCCCCTCCTGCATCCACCAGCAGTGCTGCAGCACAGTCCTCACCAATGCAGGTCTTCATGTCCAGGGATGCCATGAAGCCGTCGAAGCAGAGGCACCGGTACTCGCCGGGGATGTTTGTGCACTGCCCACCATCACAGATGTCAGGATTATCCTCACACTCATCGATATCTAGAGAGGGGAGACCGTTGCCAAGGTAAACAGGATTGTGGAAGCCCAGGAGGGAGGCACAGGAGGGGCTTTGCTCCAAATCCTGCAGTTCTGGGAGCCCGTGAGAGGGGCTGGACAGGAAAATCACCCCTGGGGAACAGGCTCAAAAATGAGACTCTCTCGCCCTGAAGCGGCCACAGAGGTGCCTGGGGCAGCATCTCTGAGGGTTGAGGTGGGCACTGAGCTGCACAGGGCCTCTTGTCTGGCACAGGCACTGACCTGCACAGGATCTCTTGTCTGGCATGGGCACTGACCTGCACAGGGCCTCTTGTCTGGCACAGGCACTGACCTGCACAGGGCCTCTTGTCTGGCATGGGCACTGACCTGCACAGGATCTCTTGTCTGGCATGGGCACTGACCTGCACAGGATCTCTTGTCTGGCATGGGCACTGACCTGCACAGGGCCTCTTGTCTGGCACAGGCACTGACCTGCACAGGATCTCTTGTCTGGCACAGGCACTGACCTGCACAGGATCTCTTGTCTGGCACAGGCACTGACCTGCACAGGACCTCTTGTCTGGCATGGGCACTGACCTGCACAGGACCTCTTGTCTGGCATGAGCGCGTAGCCCTCGCTGCAGCTGCACTCGTAGCTGCCCTCCGAGTTGGAGCAGTGGGTGTCACAGCCCCCGTTGGTGATGGTGCACTCGTCGATGTCTGGGGACAAGGGACAGGTCAGGCAGCAGTTTGGGTCGTGGGTTGGGGTATGTGCCTCGCAGCAGAGGTGCTGAAGAGGACACCAATGCCTTCCCCCCAACCACAGCCACCCACACTCCCTCACCAGCAGATTTGGCCGTCGCTCAACCGGGAGGTTCCCCCCTTGTCCAACCCTCCAACGCCCCGCTGAGCGTTCTAAATAACAGGCAAGACACCAGGAGGGCTCTGGGTTCATCCTGGGGCCCTGGAATGACTCACCAACACAGCCCTGCCTGTCCAGCGTGGCCTGGAAGCCCGAGTCGCACGAGCACTGGTAGGTGCCGATGACGTTGACGCAGCGCCCGTTGCGACACAGGTTGTCACTGAGGGAGCACTCGTTGATATCTGGGGGGGGGAAGAGCAGTTGGAGCAGCCAGCCGGGCTGATTCCCACCCTGGGAATCTCCTGGTGCCCACCCCGGGGTCTCCAAACTGAGTTTGTTGTTGCCCTGTTGGTCAATGCTCAGTGAACAGCAGAAGGAACAACGTACATGGAGTGAAACCCTGGGAACAACACTGGTCCCTCCCGGGTGAGGGTGTTCTAACCATATATTACAGAATCACAGGATGGTTTGAGTGGGAAAGGACCTTAAGGATCATCTCATTCCACCCTCTGCCATGGGCAGAGACACCTTCCACCAGCCCAGGCTGCTCCAACCTGGTCTCGGGCGCTTCCAGGGAAGAAGATATTCGTACCCCCGGCACGAGACCTGAGTTTCCCTGCGTGATTCCCCTCGAACCCTCGCTGTGACACAGGTTTCCAGCCTCTCACCTATGCAGGTGTTGCCCTCAGCTGTCAGCTCGTGGCCAGGGGGGCAGATGCACTCGAAGCTGCCGTCGGTGTTCATGCAGATCCCGCCCCGGCACAGCAGCGGGTCCCGCTCGCACTCGTTGATATCTGCACACAACGACACCAATTGTCCCCTTCCAGAGGGTTTTCCAGCTAACAGGGCAGTGCTGGTGCCAGCAGCACAGTCCCCACCACCAGAGGGACATCCCAAAAAACACAGGGGTATCCCAAAATCACCCGGGATTGGGGGAGTCCAGTGGACTCCTGGTTGAAATCACAACCTTGACCTCAGCAGGACATAAAGTGTGACATCAGGAGCAAGGACATTATTAGCTTTGTGCAGCTGAGCCAGCAAGGACTAGAAGGATAATTCCCAGCCCCCCCATCCCAGTACATTTTCACAAATCCCATCAGCAGGGGAAGAATTCCTTGGAAAACGTGTGGTTGGTTTGATAGAACACCAACAGACCTTCTTGGGAAGAGCCTCCTGAGCTCCAGTGTCACACAGGGGGGTAGGAAATAACCCCCACATTGCTGGAAAAAAATCACATGTGGACCAAAAAGATGGAATTTACAAGGAACTGGAGAAATCCCTGGAATAGGTGAAACTGCTGGGAGAGAGACGGGATCCATTCAAAATGAAAAATAAAAAACAAAAGGGACAGAAAAGTTTATAAAGGCCAGGCTGGAAAACCCAAACAAGGGAAACTCCTGGAATGGTGAAGTGGTGATGGCTGGAAACAAAAAAACAACATAAGGAGGAGATGAAAAGCCTTGTTATCAATGGATTATCCATGGAGAGAGACCTTGGAGAAGGCTCTTTGTGATCTTCTAAGATGCTGTCCAGGCAAGTCTTTCTGTGCTTCACAGTCACATTCCTTGGAAAGGGCAAGTGCTGGGATGAATCTGATCCTTTACCTTTTGGAAGAGGAGTCTGAGGATGAGGTTCTTTATTCTGGTCCCAGAATGGAGTTTGTCAAAATCAAAAGATTTTGGGTTCTTGAATACCCCTAGAATTGACTGGAGATGTCCTGCAGTGACAGGAAGAGGGTAAAAAAAACCAGGGAAGCCTCCCTGGAAGTGCTCAGAGGATTCATCCACAGCTGCACCCTGAGAAATGTGAATTGAGAGCACAAAGCCTTTGGGTGCAACAGGAAGGAGCTGAGGGAGCTAAAAATCTCCCCCAGAAACCCCTCAGTGCCAGCAGAGACAGGGAGGGAGGTTGGATGTGTGGGAAGAACCCAGTTTCTTCTCAGGTGTTTATTTTTCAGATTCTGAACTTGAAATTAAGAGGGGAATATTACACCTTCCTTGGATAAAACACTCTGATGGGATCTTCAGGTTATCCACAGCTACAGGGGACTGGGATCCACCCAAAAATGGGGGTGACAGGTCCTTATCAAACACCCCCCAGGAGCTGTGCCTCGGGTTCTCCACGGTGGGAGCCTATTCCTGGTGAATTCCAGGCTGCATTTCCCCTGCCCTTGTTGTCATCCACAGCCACAGGCTGGAAAGAATTCCTCCCTCAGGAGGCTGGAGGCAAACAGAGGTGGGAAAAAAGTGAATCCTGGAGCAGAGGAAAGGCCATAATGTCACTTGGGGGTGAGGTGACTCAGCTCTCTGTCACCTCAGGGACAAGGTGGAGTTGGATTTAATATAATAATGAGCAGATAATAACGAGCTTTAAATAAATAAAGGACAATTTATATATAAAGATATTAGACATCCCACTGCTGCAAGGAGCCAGCAGGCCGTTGGTGGGGACTGTGACAGTCTCAGTGTCTCGGAGGAGGAGGAGGAAGATGATGAGTGGGAGCTGTGGGAACCCACACCACAAACTGCACGGAAAAAACAAACCCCAGGCCAGTGGCAGGGCAGGGATTGGCTTCAAAGAACACAGAGAATAAAACATGAAAAATAAATAAATGGTGTTGAATCACACCGAGGGCTGAAGTGGTTTGAAAGTCCAAGCCAAAGCAGAATATCAAGAGTAGGTCAGTGAGACAAGTGAGTCTGGCTGGACAGACGAGGAAAAGAACGTGGAATGCCAGGAATTAGAGGACAGCAAGAGTCTGGCTGAGCTGTTGGAGAAGAACTGAGGTACTGAGGTCACTGATGGGATTTTTTAAGCTCCAAACAAGAATTATTAAATTGAAAACAGATGAGACTCTGACAGAGTAAAAACAAGCACGAAGGGGATGGGAGGAGCTGTAAAGAATTATCTGAGGATAAAGGACCATGAGTTGGGCAGGTGAAAGGAGCTTTTACAATTACAACTGAAAAGTGAGTGGGGCAGGAGAGTGTGTGGATGGTCTACCAGAACTTCTCAGGAAGGAATTAATCCCTGAAAATGCCTGGGGAGCTGGGCAGGGACCTCTTTCATGGCTGAGGCTGGTATGGAACTGCTGCAGAGCCCAAGGAAAGGCATAGATTAAATATCACACACAGTGCTATTTAAATATCACATAAAGTGAGACCAAGTTGAGAGACATTTTAGAAGAGATTCAGTGGAAAGGAGCCCAAGAAAAACAGGATGAATCAGCAAGGTTCTGAGCTGGAAGAGACACAATCCATCTCCTGGTGGACCTCTTGCTCAGCAAGGTGTATCTCCATGTCCTCCTGCCAGGGGAGGCATTTGATTTAATTTGATTTAATAATGACACGTGGCTGGAGGATGGACCATGACAGCAGTGCTAGAAAGACAAAATTTAATTTATCTCCTAATACAGGAGTGGAAATAACAGGTCTGCTCATCTGCCAGGGTGTTTGAAAATGGTTTAGTGCAAGGGTTGACCACGTGAGGTTAATAAAGGGTGGAGATGGGGGGGGTGTTTAGAGTGGGGAATATGTAAACAACCACAGGATCCCAGAATGGTTTGGCTTGGAAGGAACCTTAAAAATCATTCAGCTCCAGCCTCCTGCCAGGGGGGCAGGGACACCTTCCAGTGGCTGAATTCATCAGTGGCCAAATCAATAATAGGTGGCTGAGAAGGGGAAGGAAAGTAAAAAGGCCAAGTGGGGGAGAGAAGTGGAGCTCTCAAACACCCAGTCCAAGCTGCTGGGCTGGCACAGCTCCACCAGGCACTGGCCAGTGCCCAGGAGAAAGGTGGCAGGAATGAAAACACCAGGAATGGATCCTGGCCCAGCTCAGTGGCAATGCCAGGCTCGAGCTCCAGCTGCCGGGGGCTGACAGGAGAGGAAGGTGAACGGCCAAGGTCTGGGCAGGGGAAGGTCCAAGGGAAGAGGAGCATGAAATGAAGAAGAATGGACTTGGTTCAAGGACATGAACAAGCACAAGATGAAGAAGGAAATACAAGGTGATCAGTGGGTGACCTCTCCCAGCTCTTATCTCAGCTCACGAATCCTTCGCCCTTTTTTTCCCCTCCTCTTCCCCGTTGCCGAGGGGAGGGAGATAAATTTAACTATTAATAAATAATTAATAAATTTAACTAATATCCCCACTCTGAGCCTGTTTTCCCACTCTGATGGTAACCAGTGGGTGACCTCTCCCAGCTCTTATCTCACGAATCCTTCGCTGGTTCTTTCCCCTCCTCTTCCCCATTGCCGAGGGGAGGGAGACAAATTTAACTAATAAGTTAATAAATAATTAATAAATTAAACTAATAAATTAATAAATAATTAATAAATGTAACCAATATCCCCACTCTGAGCCTGTTTTGCCCACTGTGATGGTGATCAGTGGGTGACCTCTCCCAGCTCTTAGCTCACGAATCCTTCACCAGTTTTTTCCCCTCCTTTGCCCAGTTGCCGAGGGGAGGGAGATAAATTTAACTAATCAATTAATAAATAATTAATAAATTTCACTAATAAATAATTAATAAATTTAACCAATATCCCCACTCTGAGTCTGTTTTACCCATGGTGGTGATCAGTGGGTGACCTCTCCCAGCTCATATCTCAACTCACGAATCCTTCGCCAGTTCTTTCCCCTCCTCTTCCCCATTTCCAAGGGGAGGGAGAGACCCAGCCAGGGTCAACCCCCTCCTCCTGGCCAAGGGCAGGTCCTTTTGAAGGCCTAAAAGAGTTAACTGAGGGATCTTGCTCTGTTGAGAAACCCCCCTGACACCTGCTCTGCCTGTGCTGCTGAAGAACTCGTTCTGTTCTGCTCGCTGGACCCAAACCTAATCATAAGAAGAAGGCTGGAAATGCTACACAATCAACCTAGAGGTCATAAATTAAGGCAGGGTAGACATCTGACTAGGAGAAAGGGGCTTAGAGCCAAGGGTTTCTGCAAGCTTCAGTAGTCAGGATGTTAACAACAGAAAGGTGAGGAGGTCAAAGTGAGAAGGAAGAGAAACAGGCCCCCGATTTGAGGCTGAAGGCTGGAACGAGCACCAACACTCAGTGCCAAGAGAAAAAACTGGGAAGCACCACCCTAAGCTCCACCCAGACCCCGCCTATTATTAATATGTATGATTAGATGTAATCATGTGAATGTCCATGTTAAAACGTTGCAATCACGTATGCAGACTGTATAAATCCCCTGATTTTTGCATCGGTGCTGGCCTAGGTTAAAAAGGGTTTTCCCCTGGAGTTGGAAAGTGCTTAACTCCAGGGGGGTGGTGTTTCTTGGTGTTGACCCAATCAGCGCCCCTGCAAAATTAAAACAGATCACCCCAGACCAGAAAAGAAGCATTAAACTGCCTTGCCCCCTCCCTGCTGCCATGCTGGCAGTTTGAGACAGAGCAAAGGAGCTCTGGGAGGACTCTGGGGGCAAAGACTGAGCTGAGAGCTGCCCTAAACGTTCTGACTCGAGGGAACTCGACCCCTCCAGGAAGGGATTTCCATGGGATGTCTTGCATTCTGTGATATGACCGTGGTGAAGCAGGTTTTGTCCCTGCTGGCAGTCCACGGGCGAGACCTTCAGTTGGAGCTGAAGGGCTGAGGGGTGAGAAGAGACCCCCTTGTGTGTGATGGAGAGAGAGAGAGAGAGATTTCAGCTGTGACAACTCCAGCTACGACTGCTGCTTTGAAGAGGAAAGACACTGCTGCCCTGAAAGTGGAAAGGATCTTTCCTTCTTCCCTTCTGAACTTTCACTGGAGGGAAAGGAGGGACTCAATCTAATGTGAATGTTGCTTTACCATAGGAGAGAGAGTTAGAATTGTGTATATAACGTATTTATTTGTGTAATAATTGTAATATAACTCCCTTCCCCCCCCGTACTGAGTTGTGTCATGTCTGGAAAAACCTCTCACACTGAAGTAAATTGCAGGAGGGGGGGGCTTGGACTTGGAAATTGGATTTCTGAGGGTCTCAAACTACAACAGGCGCCTTCCAGCGAGTTTACCCGGCGCGGGTGAATAAACACCTCGCTGGCTGCTTAGAGACAAAAAGTTCTTAATTCTGAGGGGTTTTTTTTTTTCAGCCTCACTTACCCATGCAGTTCTTCATCATCATGAAGCCGCTCTCGTAGCCCTCGAAGCACTCGCACTCGAAGCTGCCCGGGGTGTTGACGCACGTGCCGTGGCCGCACAGGTCCGGCGAGATGCGGCACTCGTCGATGTCTGCGGGGAGAGGGACACGCTGCCTTCAAAATCTGCATCCTGTCATTATTATTCGTATTATTATTGATATTATTTATATTATCCTGGCCTGCATCAGGAACAGTGTGGCCAGCAGGAGCAGGGAAGTGATCCTTCCCCTGTACTCTGCGTTGGTGAGACCACACCTTGAGTGTTGTGTTCAGCTCTGGGCCCTCAGCTCAGGGAGGATATTGAGGGGCTGGAGCGGGTCCAGAGGAGAGCAACGAGGCTGGGGAAGGGACTGGAGCACAAGTCCTATGAGGAGAGGCTGAGGGAGCTGGGGTTGTTTGGTCTGGAGAAGAGAAGGCTTAGAGGCAACCTCATCGCTCTCTTCAACTCCCTGAAGGGAGGTTATAGCCAGGTGGGGGTTGGTCTCTTCTCCCAGGAAACCAACAATAGGACAAGGGGACATGGGCTCAAGCTCTGCCAGGGGAAGTTTAGGTTAGATGTTAGGAAGAAATTCTTTACAGAGAGGGTTATCAGGCATTGGAACAGCCTACCCAGAGAGGTGGTGGATTCACCATCCCTGGAGGTTTTTAAAAAGAGATTGGACGTGGCCCTTAGTGCCATGATATAGTAATTGGAGTTGGATCAGGGGTTGGACTTGATGACCTTGGAGGTCTTTTCCAACCCAACCTATTCTATGATTCTATGATTCTTATTTATATTATCATTATTTATATTATTATTATTTATACTATTATCGTTTATATTATTATCATTTATATTATTATTTATATTAATTTCACGAGTTCGTGGCGCGCTGTTGGGAACCCTCAGACCCTCGCAATGCAGTCGTCATCACCTTGTGTAAGAAGAAAGGAGCTAAGCCAGACTGCTCAAATTACCGTGGTGTTACTCTGCTCTCCATTGCTGGCAAAATCCTGGCAAGAATTCTCTGCTAGAGCAGAAGGAATTCTACCTGAAAGCCAGTGTAGGAGCACCACAGACATGGTTTTGTTCTCAGACAACTGCAAGATAAGTGTGGGGAACAGAACAAAGATGGGTAGAGCCCTCCCCAGATCTTCATTCACAAAGCCTAGCCATGATTATTTATAATATTATTATTTATATTATTATTTATATTATTAATTATATTATTATTTATATTATTATTTATATTATTAATTATATTATTATTTATATTATTATTGTTTCTATTATTGTTGTTTCTATTATTATTGTTTCTATTTTTATTTTTTCTATTCTTCTTTTTTCTCTTATTATTGTTTCTATTACTATTATTTCTATTACTATTATTTCTATTACATAGGTTTTAGCACAGCTCCAGCACTTTTAGCCCAGCACCTCCACGCCAGGTGTTGTTTAACATCCCCTGTCGGGGATTCCAAGGGTGGAAAAAAACCCCACCTTGTTGTGAAAATGTGCTCAGAACAAGACAGAACTGCTTGACAGAGCCAAGTCAAAACTACTCAGAAGCCTTGAAGATGTTCCAAGAAGGACAGAGATGACGATGAGGAGGATGGGGATGAAGGGGTGGGCATTTTGGGACCACCAACTCAACTCTGGGAGGTGGGGCTGAAGGGATGGGACAGACGGTGTAACCAAGGAGGTGATGTCCAAATATTAGAATTAGATGGTGTTATAAAAATTGTAAAGGCCTGTACTCTGTGTGTGTGTGCAACACACCCTTGTGCACCAAAGTTACTACAGTTAAAGAGCTGCTTTCTGCCTTTCTCTTCTCAAAATTGCCCAGAGAATTATTTCTCCCATTTTAGGCAACAGGCACCAGGGAGTGGAGGAAGGACAGGCCACCAGCACCACTAAACCCAGCACTGGGCTTCAAACACTCATTTCAGCTCAAACTCAGTGCACAGGGGCTGGCAGGTCTGAGCCAGCAGAGCAAGGAACTCCTCATCCTGGAGGGAGGGACAGCAGCCAAGCTGTCTCCCTGGGGCAGGGCTCATCCCTCACCCCACGAGCAGGAGGAGCCTCATGGAATCACGGGACGGTTTGGGTTGGAAGGGGATTTAAAGTTTATCCAGTTCCACGCCCAGCCATGGGTGAGAACCCACCACCCTGGTGCCCTGAAGGACCCCCTGGGACCCCATGTCGGTGTTTTGTCTTTGCTGCAGCACAGCTGGGGGTTGGTGCGTGTGCCACAGAGCACTGCCTGAGGCTGCAGCTTTCCGGGCTCCCTGGATGCACGAGAGACATTAATTGGCACCAAAATCCAAGGAGGAGAGGTGTCAAAGGATCATGAAATCCCAGACTGGTTTGGGCTGGGAGGGACCTGAAAGCTCATCTCACTCCACCCCCTGCCATGGGCTGGGACACCTTCCATTATCCCAGGTTGCTCCAAGCCCTGTCCAAGGACACTTCCAAGGACGGGCATCCACCACTTCTCCCCGTCCTGCCTCCGTTCCTGGCCTCGATGCTTCTGCTCATGGTTGGCTCCTCGCCACGTCCCCAAAACAAGTGCCACAACCCCCCTGGGTGGCACCACCACGCTGAGCACCCCCAAAGGCAGCAGGGTGGGCAAGGGGTGGCCCAGAGGGGGTCCCTTACCCGTGCAGTTCCTCTCCTCGGCGTCCAGAGCGAAGCCGTTGCCGCAGATACAGCGGAAGCTGCCGATGGTGTTCCGGCACGTGCCGTGAGTGCAGAGCCCGGAGAAGACCTTGCACTCGTTCACATCTGGGGGTGGAGAAGAGCAGAGGTTCAGAGAGGGGGTGTCTCACGAGCCCAGAGCCCCCGGGGCGGGCGGAGGGCCGAGCGCAGCGAGGGGCTTTTCCCAGCTTTCCGCTCACCTTTGTAGAAGGGCCTCCCCGAGAGCACGTCCCCGCGGTTGGCGAAGCCGGGCCCGCGCGGGCAGATGGCCTTGAACTCGCCGGTGCCCGGCTTGGGGCACTCCTCGCAGTCGCTGCCCCAGGCCGAGCCCACGGAGCAGCAGCACATGTCCATGCGGTACTTGCCGGGCAGGGGCTCCGTGCACTCGTCCTCGTCCCAGCGCATGTAGCACTGCTCCACCCGCACGTCTGGGGGGCACAGCAGGGCTCAGCGACCCCCCTGAGGCGCCCACCCGCCGCCAAAGCCAACCCTGGCACTCTCTGGGACTGGCTTTGCGTGGTAAAAACCACCCTGGCACCTTCTCTGGGACTGGCTTCACATGGTAAAAACCACCCGTGGCACTCTCTGGGACTGGCTTCACGTGGTAAAAATCACCCTGGCACCCTCTCTGGGACTGGCTTCACACGGTAAAAACCACCCTGGCACCCTCTCTGGGACTGGCTTTGCATGGTAAAAACCACCCCAGCACCATCTGGGACTGGCTTCACATGGTAAAAACCATCCTGGTACCCTCTCTGGGACTGGCTTCTCATGGTAAAAATCACCCTGGCACCCTCTCTGGGACTGGCTTCACACGGTAAAAACCATCCTGGCACCTTCTCTGGGACTGGCTTCACATGGTAAAAACCACCCGTGGCACTCTCTGGGACTGGCTTCACGTGGTAAAAACCACCCTGGCACCCTCTGGGACTGGCTTTACAGCATCCCTGGAGTGGCTTTGGCTGGGGCATCCTCCAAACTGCCCAGGAATGAGCCATTCTCAGAATATGCTGACAAGGAAGGGACCCCCATGGCTGCAGCACTGAGACCTTCATTTCTTTCTCCAAGGGCCGGTGTTTCCCCAGGCAGGTCAGGCACCGACCTCTCCTTCACATCAGGGCTTCCCGTGGGGGCTTCTGGTGCCCCACAGACCCTTCTCACAGAACCATGGAATATCCTGAGCTGGAAGGGACCCACAGGGATCATCCAGCCCAACTCTTAGCCCTGCACAGGACACTCCAACAATCCATGTCCCTTGGAGCATTGTCCAAACACTCCTTGAATCCTGTCAGGGTTGGATGCTCAACCACTGCCCTGAGGAGCCTGTTCCAGTGCCATTCCCTTTTTTTTTTTTGGAATGCTGTGAGAGATTTCACAGCATGGACACAACCAGCCTGGGTCTGCTGGCAACAGGGCCGGTGAATGGCCCCTCCCCGGTGCTGGAAGCACAGATGGCCCCTGGGAAGGGCAGAGGTTTGTCCCTGTGTGCCCAGGAGTTGTTTCAGGGCTGCTGGGCCACGTCATTAACCAAAATTAGGTGATTTGGCCACTTCTGAAGTCCCCCCATGAAGAACAACTGCTGGACTCGGGGACACGAAGCTGTGGCAGCTTTGCCTCGGTTCAGCTGCCGGGTTTTGGTGCCCTTCCCAAAGACGCCACCACTCAATTCCCAAGAATTCCTGCTGCACGTGGCAGGGAGGGGCGGAGCTGGAGCACCCGTAGAGGGGCCAGGATCTGGGTGAGAGGAGGTGCCCTTACCCACACACGTCCTGGCAGTGCCATCCAGGGTCAGCCCCTCGGGGCACTCGCAGCGGAAGGAGCCGGCGGAGTTGACGCAGCGCCCGTTGGGGCAGACACCGGGGAACACCTCGCACTCGTTCACGTCTGTGGGCACAGGAGCAGGAGAAGGGCATGAGACTGGCACGGGGACAAGGCCAGCATGGCCTCCAGGGGCTCCTGGAGGAGATGGAAGCAGCCCAGAGCTGCCCTGCCAGACTAAAAAGTGACAACTCGCTCCATGAAAAGCACATTGTCCCTGCACGGCCACAGCCAAGCCCAGCCAGGGGCTGAGCACAGACAGACAGACAGACAGACAGACAGAGGCCACACATCCACAGAGTCCAACAAAAGGCCAGAAGGTGTAGAACCTCCCCTCCCAGACTTGGAGAGGCAGGACAGCAGCAAATGAACAGTGACCACGATCCCGAGGGAAAGTTTCCCATGTCCTGCTGCAACTGTACCTTCACAGGTGACCCCCTTCATCCGGGCGTATCCCCGGGGACAGGCAGTGTCTGCAAGGAAAGATGGGAATGTCAGCAGAGAAACGGGCTGCTCCTGCCTTCCTGATCTCCCAGAGAATCCTGGAATATCCTGAGCTGGGAGGGTCCCACAAAGATCATCCAGTCCAACTCCTGGCCCTGCACAGGACACCCCAACAATCCCCCCTGTCCCTCAGAGTGTTATCCAAGAGTTCTGGACATGTTCCCCAGGGTTTTCCTTTGTTCTTCTTCACCCCCTGCCCCTCTTTATTCAAGGAGCTGGGGCTTCATTTGTCCCCTACGAACACAGAAACATCCACAGCAACAATGCAGCAGGATTTCTGTAGAATCCTGGAATATCCTGAGTGGGAAGGGACTTACAGGGATCATCAGGACACCCCAACAATCCCTCAGAGGATCATCCAAACCCTCCTGGAGCTCTGGCAACCTTGGGGAATAACCATTCCATGGGGAGCCTGTTCAGTGCCCCACCATCCTCTGGGGAGGAGGAACCTTTCCCTGAGATCCATCCCAAACCTCCCCTGGCACAACTCCATGGATTTCCATGGAAAAATGGGCGACACGGGGCAGAGAAGGATTTCAGAGCAGCTGGAATTTATCAGGGATCCTCCAGGGTAAAGCACAATTTCTGGATTTACGAAAGCAAGTGGGAGGGGAATGGATAAGACAGAGTTGGAGACTGGATTTATTCAGAGAATCCTGGAATATCCTGAGCGGGAAGGGACCCACAAGGATCATCAGGACACCCCGACAATCCCCCCTCAGAGCGTTGTCCAAACCCTCCTTGAGCTCTGGCAGCCTTGGGGCCGTGCCCACTGCCCTGGGGAGCCTGGTCAGTGCCCACCACCCTCTGGGGATGAAGAACCTTTCCCTGAGATCCATCCCAAACCCCCCTGGCACAGCTCTGAGGGGATCCCCGTGCCAGGCAGGGCCTCACCGATCTCGCAGCGCTCGCAGGGGCTGCCCCAGGCTGCCCCCAGGGTGGCACAACACTCCGACTTGAGCGTGGCCCCGTTGATGTTCACCTCGCAGCGCCCGTCCTGGATGTTGAGCCAGCAGGTCCCTTTCATGCTGTCTGCAGGGATGAAGACAAGGAGAGAGTGAGGAGCTGCTCCACTCCCAGGTTCATGGAACCCTGAGGAGCAGCCCTGGAGCCCTCTCTGGCTGCAAGGTGGCTGTTGGTCCTTGGGGTCGCTCTGTCCTTCAATCTGTGGGGCCAAGTGGGTTCCAGCAGGGACACAAACCCTGCTGGTCCCCAGAGCCCTGTCCTGCCCTTTTCCCATTCTCAACCTGCTCCTTTTCTGGGTGGAAATAGTCCTTTATCCATCTGTCCTGTGATGCTTTGCAAGGCCCTGACCATCGAGGAGTGGGAAGTGGGAACCTTCCCATGGTCTTGATGACAAAGGATCCACTTTTTCTCGACGTGCCCTAATGTCACCACACCCCCAACCCATCTGCTGAGGGAGAACCCACCATCCTGATGCCCTGAAGGATCCCCTGGCACCCCATAGGGACCCTGGGTTCCCCTGGGACCCTGTGTGGGGGTGCAGCACAGCCTGAGGCTGCAGCTTTCCGGGTTCCCTGGAGGCAGGAGAGACATTAATTGGCACCAAACTCCAAGGGAACACTGAGTGGGAAGGAGAGGTGTCAAAGGCTCATGGAATCCCAAACTGGTTTCGGTCGGAAGGGACCTTAAAGCTCATCCAGTGCCACCCCCTGCCATGGGCAGGGACACCTTCACTAGCCCAGGTTGCTCCAAGCTGGCCTTGGACACCTCCAGGGATGGGGCAGCCACAGCTTCTCTGGGAAAACCTGTGCCAGGGCCTCCCCACCCTCACAGCCAAGAATTCCTTCCTGATATCCCACCTAACCCTGCCCTCTGGCAGTGGGAAGCTATTCCCTGTATCCTGTCCCCTCTATCCCTTGTCCCCAGTCCCTCTTCAGCTCTCCTGGAGCCCTTTCAGGCCCTGGAAGGGGCTCTCAGGTCTCCCTGGAGCCTTCCCTTCTCCTTGAACACTTTCTGGGATGGGGCAGCCACAGCTTCTCTGGGAAAACCTGTGCCAGGGCCTCCCCACCCTCACAGCCAGGAATTCCTTCCCAATATCCCACCTATCCCTTTGGCAGTGGAAAGCCATTCCCCCTTGTCCTGTCCCCCCATTCCTTGTCCCAAATCCCTCTCCAGCTCTCCTGGAGCCCCTTCAGGCCCCGGAAGGAGCTCTAAGGTCTCCTTGGAACCTTTTCTTCTCCAACCTGGCCTTGGACACTCCCAGGGATTCAGGGGCAGCCACAGCTTCCCTGGGAAAACCATTCCAGGGCCTCCCCCCTCTCCCGGGGAAGGGTTGAAACTCTGTGATCTTTTTGATCCCTTCCAACCCAAACCGTTCCACGATTCCACAGCTCTGAGAGGTGTTTGGTTCCCTCCTCCCAGGGAGGAATTTAACCCCCCCAACACCCAACCTAACCCTTCCCTCCTCCAGCTTGAGGCCGGTCCCCCTCATCCCACCATCCGTGCGCTCGGAATGCCAGGAAGGCGCCAAGGATGCCCAGCCAGGGGTGCTGGTGGGCACTGGGATGCCCAGTCCAGGAGAAGGTCCCTCCTTACCCACGCAGATGGTGCCAGTGGGGTCCAGTTTGCTGCCAGGGGAGCACTCGCAGGCGAAGGAGCCGGCGTTGTTCCGGCACACGCCGTTCACACACGGGTTGGACGTGCACTCGTTGATGTCTGGGGGGACAAAGGGACAGTCACGGGGGGACAAAGGGACAGTCACCAGGGGGGATAAATTTCTGGGCCCAGAACTGGGGGAGGTGGCAGCAAAGAACGTGGAGATTGGCGGTTTTAATTGAGCTTTTAAGTTATTTTTTTAAATGTGGGAATGAAATAAAAGATATTAAAAAATAGTACGTAAAATATATAATAGTCTATGAAGGATATAAAATGTATAGGATCTGTCATATGTAAATATCTAAAATAGCTAGAAGAGGAAATATAATATTAGGTAAAATATATAATAATTTATGAAGGATATAAAAGATATAAAATGTGTAATAAATAAATATCTCAAATAGTTAATATATAAAATACAATAATAGGTAAAATATATAATCATCTATGAAGGATATAAAAGATATAAAATGTGTAATATATAAATATATAAAATAGTTAAAATATAAAATATAATAATACGTAAAATATATAATAACCTATGAAGGATATGTAAGGATATAAAATGTGTAATATCTAAATATCTAAAATATCTAAAATAGAAAATACAATAATATGCGAAATATATAATCATCTATGAAGGATATAAAATGTATAAAATGCCATTTTTTCACTTCCTTTACAGAAAATCTGCTTTTTTTCACTAAACTTTCCTGTGCCAAGTGCCAGTTCTCAAATATCTGAGGACTTTGCAGACAGGAAACAATTTCTCCCACTCCAAAACCCAACCTTTCAATCAAATGCCCTAAAACTTGCAATTTTGGTCAGGCTTCAGCTAAAATTTCAGGGGCCTGGAGGAAATGGTTCTGGTTTGCAGGCACTGAAAAGCCCAGATGTTCTGGGTTTGGGTGTCCACTCCTTTGATGGAAGTGTGAAACTTCACCCTTAGGGAAAAAAAAAACCAAACCCACAAACCCCAAAGCTGGAGATGAAACAACCAAACCCAAAAACCCAAAACCCTGGAGATAAAATGACCAAACCCGAAAGCTGGAGATGAAACCATCAAACCCACAAACCCTGGAGATGAAAACATCAAACCCACAAACCAGAGATGAAACCATCAAACCCACCAACCCAAAAGCTGGAGATGAAACCATCAAACCCACAAATCCAAAAGCTGGAGATGAAACCATTGAATGCAGAAACCCACAACCCTGGAGATGAAACCACCAAACCCAAAACCCTGGAGATGCAACCATCAAACCCAAAAACCAGAGATGAAGCAACCAAACCCACCAACCTAAAAGCTGGAGATGAAACCATCAAACCCACAAACCCAAACCCCTGGAGATGAAACCACCAAACCCCCCAACCCAAACCCCTGGAGATGAAACCATCAAACCTCCCAACCCAAACCCCTGGAGATGAAACCACCAAACCCCTCAACCCAAACCCCTGGAGATGAAACCACCAAACCCCCCAACCCAAACCCCTGGAGATGAAACCATCAAACCTCCCAACCCAAACCCCTGGAGATGAAACCACCAAACCCCTCAACCCAAACCCCTGGAGATAAAACCACCAAACCCACAAACCCAAAACCTGGAGATGCAACCATCAAACCCAAAAACCAGAGATGAAGCAACCAAACCCACCAACCTAAAAGCTGGAGATGAAACCATCAAACCCCCCAACCCAAACCCCTGGAGATGAAACCATCAAACCCCCCAACCCAAACCCCTGGAGATGAAACCACCAAACCCCCCAACCCAAACCCCTGGAGATGCTCAAGTTCCAAGCGCTGTGGTCGAAAGGGAACCAAAGGCATGGCAGACCTTGAGCTGCCTTTCAGGTAGGCCCTCAGGCCACGGGTTTTTCCACCCCGTGGAGCTGTTTGTGGTGGCTCCAGAGCCCCGTTACCTTCACAGGTGTCCGTCTCTGTCCTGAAGACGAAGCCCTTGGGGCAGGTGCAGGTGTAGCTGCCGGGGGTGTTCCTGCACAGCCCGTTGTCGCACAGCAGACGGTTGACAGTGCACTCATCAACATCTGGGGACAGGGAGAGAAGGGGTTCCTGAGCCACAGCACCGGCCCCACAGAGCCTGGGAGGAGCAGAAGTTCAGCTCCACCCTCACAGTGAGACAATCCAAGACGTTCAATCATGTCCATGCAGGTTCTCACGGGCACCTTCGTGAGTGTCCTGGTTAGAACAGCTGGGACCAGTTCATCACTGCATGGGTGTAACCCAAAACTGGGCATTCTACAGCCTTCCATGCCATTGCCCAGAAACTGTTATCAACAGACCATTTACACCCTCTGCCCAGAGCAGCCCTGACTCCTCAGGCCATAAACTGGGTGTTCAGAGGCCTGGGAGACAGGAGGGTGCTCCTGCCCTCACACCCAGTGTGGAACTCCCCTCCCTGAGGGAGGCACTGGGCATTCCCGCCTGAACCTGAGGATATATAATCTTGGAGTCTGGGGACTTTTTTAACCACTGGTGGGATCCAGAGAAGGACTGAGACCACCACTCTCAACCAGACTGAGACCACCACTCTTGACCAGACTGCACCACCACTCTCACCAACAGGTTTTTCCCCTCTCCTTTTACTTTGGGCTCAGAGGGGCCCAAAGGACACCACTCTGTTCCTGCCCCAGGGTGTTCAGTGCCCTGCACTGAGTGGGGACAGGGTTTGTGGGCATCACCTGGAGGTTCTGGCTCCTGCCCCCCTCTGCCCAGCCCGTGCCCTGGACTCACCCACGCAGTTCTTGCCCGTGGGGTCGGACTCGTAGCCCAGGTTGCAGATGCAGCGGTAGCTGCCCCGCAGGTTCTCACACATCCCGTTGGGGCAGATGTCTGGGTTCAGGGCACACTCGTTGATGTCTGGCAGAGAGAAAAGTCAAATGGGATGGACCACAGCAAAGGGAAACATCAGAACATTCCATCTCCCCAGCCCTCATCGTTCCTCGGTGTCCACCCACAGCCAGAAGCACAATCCCAGACTGGTTTGGGTGGGAAGGGACCTTAAAGCCCACCCAGTCCCACCCCCTGCCATGGGCAGGGACACCTCCACTAGCCCAGGTTGCTCCAAGCCCTGTCCAGCCTGGCCTTGAACACATCCCAGCAGGGGCATCCACCACTTCTCCCTGCCCTGCCTACTTTCCTGCTTTGATCCAGTATATCCTGGGGAACGTTGTTCCTCTCCCTCTGGAGCTGTGGAGCTGGGGATACACAGCTGATCTGGCACAGAGCTCTGAGCTCAGGAGGAGCTGGATAAGGGGATGAGATAAGCCCAGTTCCAGGAGGGCTCTCAGCTCCTTCTGTCACATTCCTGAGTCTTCCAAGAGCACCTTTATCCCGGTGCTCAGCTCTGGGATAAATTATCCCTGCATTCAGCACCAAGTGCCCCAGAAGGGTGGCAGCCAGGTGGGCAGCACCTCTTCCTCTGCAGCAGCATCACCTCCCTGCTTGTTTTGGAGTCTGGGCAAAGAGGTTTCACCCTGGCAAGAACCAGCCCAGGGCAGGCCCAGCAGTGCCCTGGCAGTGCCACGGTGCCAGATGGCCACAGGCCCAGGCCAGCCCTTCCCAGACACTGCTGGCCTTTGTCTCCAGGCAGTTGGAGTTCAGTTCCATCCAGGGAAAAGCAGCCCTGGAGAGCTTGGAGTGTGCCTGTGGGCAGGGTTGGGTTGACCAGGGCTTGATACATATATATATTTTCAGACTATTTTATGCTGTATTGATTTTAATATGTTAAAGGTGGATGAAGACCAAGAGATTCTGGTCAAATGCATATTTACACCTAGAGATTATTGGTTCCATACTCTCAGATCTGAAGAATCAAAGAGACATTTCTCACTTAACCCATCAAACTGATTAAATATTAGTATCAAAGTCTATTTATGAGCTGCCAAAGTGACTGATACAATCAGTGAAGTTCTTGTTTCAGTAAACGTGATCTGTTGAGCTCTCTGGGCTTCATTCACTTGCCTGCACAAAGACTTACATCTGATATTTCATTAAGTATCCAGCACATTTTCATGGACCTGGTTAATTTGGCCATTTGTCTTTCTGGAATGGAGAAGTCTGGGCTGGGATACTAAAATATGACACAATTCCTTGCTAGAAAGAGCCTTATCATTACCCTGAGCCTGACTCTGGCCAGGACACGGTGCCCTGGCTGGAAGCCCAAGAAGTCACCAGGGTTTTGCCTCTGGCTCATTCCCATTTGGAAGGTTTTGAGAGGTTGTTATCTGGCTGCTTTGTTCTCTCCCTGCTGGTCCAAGCACTGCCCAGGGCTGGCACTGTGACTCAAAGCAGCCCCTTGGCAACACCCACACACACACACACACACTTATCACCTCCCTCTCCCACCCCGGAGGAGCCAGAGGGAAACAACCAAGAGGGGAGGGAAACAACCAAGAGGATGGAGTTGGTCACGCTCAGTCGTTCCCATCAAAGCAGGGAGCGAAGCCAAACTCCGTGGGAGCATCCCCAGAAACGCAGCTCCCACAGGGGTGCCAGGAATCCAGCCCTCAATCCTCAGGGAGAGTTACTCAACACCAGCTCGTGGTGGTTTGGGGAGGGGGGGAAAAAATCCCACAGTGCCCGTTTCTCCTCCTCCCTGTGCCCAACTCACATCCCACCCACTGGCACGGAGGGAGGGTCTTGCAGGCATTAAAACCCATCCAGGCTCTGCAAGCCCCCCCTGTGCCCCCTCACGCTCAGCTCTCACAGATACATGGGCTGTGCCAACCCCCCAGCACAGCCAGCAGTGCCAAGGCTCTCCTGGCACAGCCTCCCGGTGCCACATCACTCCCGGTGCCACTCAAAACCCTGGAGATGAAACCATCAAACCCACAAAACCTGGAGATGAAACCATCAAACCCACAAAACCTGGAGATGAAACGACCAAACCCACAAACCCAAAAGCTGGAGATGAAACCACCAAACACAAACCCCCAAAACCCTGGAGATGAAACCACCAAACCCAAAAACCCAAAACCTGGAGATGAAACCATCAAACCCACAAAACCTGGAGATGAAACCACCAAACCCACCAACCCAAAACCCTGGAGATGAAACCACCAAACCCAAAACCCCAAAACCCTGGAGGTAAAACCACCAAACCCAAAAACCCAAAACCGCTGGAGATGAAACCACCAAACCCACAAACCCAAAAGCTGGAGATGAAACCACCAAACACAAACCCCCAAAACCCTGGAGATGAAACCACCAAACCCAAAAACCCAAAACCTGGAGATGAAACCATCAAACCCACAAAACCTGGAGATGAAACCACCAAACCCACAAACCCAAAACCCTGGAGATGAAACCACCAAACCCAAAACCCCAAAACCCTGGAGGTAAAACCACCAAACCCAAAAACCCAAAACCGCTGGAGATGAAACCACCAAACCCACAAACACAAAAACCTGGAGATGACATGACCAAACCCAAAAGGAGGGTGTGACCAAACCCTGAGGGTGACAGGAGACGAGTCCAGGGCTTGGGCTGCACAAACCTCTGCCATCAGCCGTTATCCCGATGCCGCTGCTGCAGAGAGCCTGGAATTCCGCTGTGGAGAAAGGACAGCAGAGCCATGAGCTTTGCTGGGCACTGCACCCAGTGCCAGTAACTCTGCATTTATTGTTTGTTTGTTTGTTGGAATGTCAGCTCCAGGCTTCCCAGCAGGGCCTGTTTGTGCTCACACAGCGTGGATTTTAAAGCTGATGCTCCCAGTTGGAGTCCAACATCCCTGTCGTGAGATCAGCACCAGATTTGGGGACACAGTCTTTGTTTGTGGACTGCCTGGCACCCCTTTCCCTCTGCCTGTGGCTTTCCTGTGTCACTGCCAAGCTGCCAAAGCCATCAGGAGGGCTCTGAGCACCTTCCTGGGGTTTTACATGCTCAGAATCACAGAATGTGCCAAGTTGGAAGGGACCCACAAGGATCATCCAGTCCAGCTCCTGGCCCTGCAGAGGACCATCCCCATGTGCCCAAGAGCATCACCCAAATGCTCCTGGAGCTCTGGCAGCCTTGGGGCTGTGCCCACTGCCCTGGGGAGCCTGGGCAGTGCCCAACCACCCTCTGGGGGAAGAACCTTTCCCTAATTCCAGGTTATACTGTGGATATAATTACGCCCTGGGCACTTGGGTGTCATTTTGTGGCTGTTGAAATTGAGGTTTCACTTGGTTCCTCCAGGCAAAGTTGCAGCCTGGATTAACCTGGATTGCTCATTAATCATTGTAGAATCCTGGAACAGCCTGAGGAGGACGGGACCCACAAGGGTCATCCAGTCCAACTCCTGGCCCTGCCCAGACACCCCAACAATCCCACCCTGTGCCTGAAAGTGTTGTCCAAACCCTCCTGGAGCTCTGGCAGCCTTGGGGCCGTGCCCACCGCCCTGGGGAGCCTGGGCAGTGCCCACCCACCCTCCAGAGGGTGGAGGAGAAAGAAGAGCCGTAGCTCACCCGAGTTCTTGGCCGGGCAGGGCTGGCAGGGCTCTCCGAAGCCGTGGTCCGGGTTGGCGCAGCAACACTCGGACTTGGTGACGGCGCCGGGGAAGGGGCGGGCGCAGGTGCCCTTTTTGATGCCCCCGTAGCAGGTGCTGCGCATGTGGGTGTCCACGCAGACCCGGCCGTCCACGCCGATGGCCAGCCCGCCCAGGCACTCGCAGCGGAAGGAGCCCTCGGTGTTGATGCACCAGCCGTTCATGCAGATCCCGGGGGTCTCGCACTCGTCGATGTCTGAGGGAAGGAGGGGACACCGGCGGGGGGGGTCAGCTGCCCACGGGCACGGGGACATGTGGGGAGGGGTGAGGGACAGGTGGAGGGGGGTGAGGGACACGTGGGGAAGAGTGAGGGACATGTGGGGAGGGGTGAGGGACACGTGGGGAGGGGTGAGGGACACGTGGGGAGGGGGTGAGGGACACGTGGAGCGGGTGAGGACCGTGGAGAGGACTTTGAGGGACAGGGAGAGGTTGTGATGGGACACGTGGAGAGGGTGAGGGACACGTTGAGAGGGTGCGGGACACGTGGAGAGGGTGAGGGACACGTGGAGAGGGTGCGGGACACGTGGAGAGGGGGAGGGACACGTGGAGAGGGGTGAGGGACACGTGGAGAGGGGTGAGGGACACGTGGAGAGGAGTGAGGGACATGTGGAGAGGGTGAAGGACACACGGAGAGGGGTGAGGGACACACAGAAAGGGGTGAAGGGCACATGGAGAGGGCAGAAAAACACATAGATGGGGTGAAGGACACGTGGGGAGGGGTGAGGGACACGTGGGGAGGAGTGAGAGACACGTGGAAAGGGTGAAGGACACGTGGAGAGGGTGAAGGACACGTGGAGAGGGTGAGGGACACGTGGAGAGGGTGAGGGACACGTGGAGAGGGTGAGGGACACGTGGAGAGGGTGAGGGACACGTGGAGAGGGTGAAGGACACATGGAGAGGTGAGGGCACGGATGAGGAGGAGAAAAACACATGATGGGGTGGGGAGGGACACGTGGGGGGAGGAGAGACACGTGGAAAGAGAGGTGGGTGAAGGCACGTGGAGAGGGTAGGGACCCCGTGGAGAGTGGAGGGACACGTGGAGAGGGTGAGGGACACGTGGAGAGGAGCGAGGGACACGTGGAGAGGAGCGAGGGACACGTGGAGAGGGTGAAGGACACATGGAGAGGGGTGAGGGACACACAGAAAGGGGTGAAGGGCACATGGAGAGGGCAGAAAAACCCATAGATGGGGTGAAGGACACGTGGAAAGGGTGAAGGACACGTGGAGAGGGTGAGGGACATGTGGAGAGGAGTGAGGGACATGTGGAAAGGGTGAAGGACATGGGGAGGGAGTGAAGGACATGGGGAGAGGGGTGAGGGATGCACAGAAAGGGGTGAAGGACACACAGAGTGGGGTGAGGGACATGTGGAGAGGGGCGAAGGACACACAGGGAGGGGTGAAGGACACATGGGGAGGGGTGAGGGACACACGGGGAGGGGTGAGGGACACGTGGAGAGGGGCAAAGGACACACGGGGAGGGGTGAGGGACACACGGGGAGGGGCAGAAGGACACATCAACATTTTCCCTCGTGCCCGTTCTGGGGGGGAAGAGGCAGATTTCTGGTGGCAGAGCAGGAGCTGCCGGGCAACAGCCTTGGTTGTTCTCAGCTCCCCGTGCTCTGAGTCACACCAGTAACCCCAGGGAATGGGAATGGGCAGGGAACAAGCTCAGGGACCCACACACCGACACAGTAGCGCCCGTTGGGAGCCAGAACGAATCCGGGCTTGCAGATGCACTTGAAGCTTCCGTCCTCGTTGATGCACATCCCGTTGAGGCACATGTTGGTGGTGGCACACTCGTCGTGGTCTGGGGAGGACAAACATCTGGGCTGAGCCTGAGAGCAGCAGCAAGACCCTCCTGTGCTCAAAAACCCTCTGAGTCCCATCTCAAACTCTTGTTGCAGTGGGTGCTAATCCTCGAGGCAGAGGGATGGTTTGGGATGGAAAGGAGCTTAAACAGCATCTGCTCCAACCCCCTGCCATGGGCAGGGGCACCTTCCCACTGCTTCTCCTGGGGAGAAGAAGGAGAAGTCCTGCTGGGAACTTTCTTTCCCCCCTTTCCTGGTGGGAAGAAGTCCTGCTGCACCCCCGGTACTCTCAGCCAGTGAAAGACTCAGACACCAGCTGCTGAGCATGTCCTGCTTCCAAACCCAGCCCTGCTGATGCTCCTGGACCCCAAAACCCACAGGAGCACTCACAGCCTTATAAAAACCCCTCCCCACTTGAGCTCTCTCATTTTAAGACACCCTAGAGCTGAAGGGAGCACAGGGGTAGGAAGGAGATTTAAGGAGATCTGATTAAACCAACCCTCGACCCCGAGGGAGAACATCATCCCAGCCCAGTCCCAGCCTCCCCAGGGGCCACCAGGAGCCTCACCAACACAGTTCTTGCCATCAGGGGTGATCTCAAAGCCAGCGTTGCAGATGCACTGGAAGCTGCCGTCGGTGTTGACGCAGCGGCCGTTCCTGCACATCACCCCGTTCATGATGCACTCATCGATGTCTGCCAGGAGAGGGACACAGCAAGGTAGGAGCACCTTAATAATCTCCAGTTTAATAATCTCCAGTTTAATAATCTCCATGAGAAAACCAGCCAAGTGCTCTCAGACTCCAGAAGAATTCGCCTCAAAAACGTCTAGTGGGGAAATTCGGAAAGCTTTTCGTGCTGCAAACCGAGGGGTCCTTTGGAAACCATTTGGTTGGAAAGAGAGGAAAAGTTAAGAATTCCACAGGGAAATCTGCCTTTGCTTCTTGTTTCACGTGGTGGAATGTTTCCTTCCCGTGATTCTCTTTTAGCAGTCCCTCATCTTTGTGCTGCAAGGCCCTGAGAGAACAACCTTGCTGGGCGTCCTACACCGATACAGATTCGCCTCAAAACCCCATCTTCTGCCAAATAAAATCCCTTAAACAGAGTTCTGCTCTTGGAAAGGACTCTGTGGCTTCCTTGATTGTCACCAAGCAATTTTAAGGCAGATTAAGGCAGAGGGAACTTCTCCAAGACAGATCCCACCACACACACACGTGGCTGGAGGTTGGTTGGCATTAGAGGGCTCCTCACTTTGTTTCCCCTTTAGAGCCATTCCCCTTTGGTTCCCAGGGCTCTGACACCCCTGGAGCTCATCAAAAGGAGAGGGACAACCCTTACCAATGCAGGCCTGCTTGGTGGGGGTGCTCTGGAAGCCCTCGTGGCACTTGCAGTGGTAGGAGCCCGGGGTGTTGACGCAGTCGCCGTGCACGCAGGGGCTGCTGGAGCACTCGTCCACATCTGCCAGGGGAAAACACCACACCCTGAGCGTCCAGGAGACACCACCAGCTCCCAGGACAGGCACAAGAAGGGCTGGGGAGGTGCTGAGCCCCTTGTGCTGACAGCAAGGTCCCTCAGATGGCAGCACCCCAACAAGGATCCCCCTCAACGTGGTGTCACCTGCACGAGGACACTCAATCCCAGTCTGTGTCACTGAGGAAGGTGTTTAACAGTGCTGGTCCCAGTGTGGACCACTGGGGACACCACCACTCGTTCCTGGTTTCCACCTGAACTGGGATAATTTGGACACAACCCTCCAGACAATTCCTTATCCACCCAACTCACACCACTCCAACTCAGAGCTAAGGATGGTGCAGGGAGTGATCTGAAAGGCCTTGCAGAAGTAGATGACACCTGTAACTCTCCTCTTTTTCACTGGTGAAGCCACACCATGATCAAAGGCCACCAGGTCAATGCCTTTGAAAATCTCTGTGGGTGTGTCTTGAGAAAAACACCAACTTTCCCTTTGCTTTGTCACTGAAGTTCCATTTTCATAAAGACAGAGAAAATTTTCCATCCTCCCATCTGACATGATCCCTCCACCCTCTGTCTCCAGCCTCTTGTGGGAAGCTCTGATGGGAACACAGAACCACAGAACATGCTGAGTTGGAAGGGACCCCCAAGGATCATCCAGTGCAACCCTCAGCCCTGCACAGGACTGTCCCCAAGAGTCACACCCTGTCCCTCAGAGCGTTGTCCAAACCCTCCTGGAGCTCTGGCAGCCTTGGGGCTGTGCCCACTGCCCTGGGGAGCCTGGGCAGTGCCCAACCACCCTCTGGGGGAAGAACCTTTCCCTAATTCCAGGTTATACTGTGGATATAATTATACTCTGGGCACTTGGGTGTCATTTTGTGGCTGTTGAGACTGAGGTTTCACTTGGTTCCTCCAGTCAAAGTTGCAGCCTGGATTGTTCATTAATCATCATACAATCATGGAACATCCTGAGCTGGAAGGGACCCCTAAGGATCATCCAATCCAACTCCTGGCCCTGCACAGGACACCCCAACAATCCCCCCTGTCCCTCAGAGTGTTATCCAAGAGTTCTGGACATGTTCCCCAGGGTTTTCCTTTGTTCTTCTCCACCCCCTGCCCCTCTTTATTTAAGGAGTTGGGCCTTGATTTGTCCCCTACGAACACAGAAACATCCCCAGCAACAATGCAGCAGGATTTCTGTAGAATCCTGGAATATCCTGAGTGGGAAGGGACCCCCAGGGATCACCAGGACACCCCAACAATCCTTCAGAGGATCATCCAAACCCTCCTGGAGCTCTGGCAGCCTTGGGGCCGTGCCCACTGCCCTGGGGAGCCTGGTCAGTGCCCAACCACCATCTAGGGAGGAACAACCTTTCCCTGAGATCCATCCCAACCTTCCCTGGTGTTGGTGCAGCAGCTGGAGGTGCTTTAGGAGCAGGCCCAGGGCCCATCTGGAGCAGAGGCCACTCACCAATGCACTCCCCACGCACGTCCTGCTTGTAGCCCATGTTGCACTCGCAGCGGTAGCTGGACGGGGTGGGGATGCAGCGCCCGTTCAGGCACAGGTTGGTGAAGTGCTTGCAGATGTCAATGGTCTGGTTCAACGTGGCAGTTCCTGGGAAGCACAGAAACAGCATCAGGGAGAAGGTTCCGGAGCCCTCGGTTGTCCCCAGGGCTCAGGGTGGGGACATCGGAACCATGACAGCCCCGAGATGCTCCCGGGCCCTGAGCAGGACCCCCAGACCCAGAAGGGTCTACAAGGGGCTGCTGTGCCCCCTCCCCACTGTTCTGAGCTGGAAGGGACCCACAAAGACCATCAAGTCCAGCTCTGAAGTGACTGGCCCACACAGAGATCAAAGCCACCAGCCTGGTGTTATCAGCACCCTGCCGGGACCAGCTGAGCTCATCCCAGGGCCAAAGGCCTTGGAAAATCTCTGGGATATGTCTAGATAAAAACACCACCAGACACAAGGGGGCTCAGCCTCTCTGAGACAAGGTGGGAATCCATCCCAGCCCCTCTGAAATCAGATGGGAATCAATCCCACCTGACTGGGATCGGACGGGAATCAATTCCAAGCCCCTCCAAAACAAGGTGGGGGTCAATATTTGGGGCCACCCAGCGCATCCCCACAAGCTTGAGCCCTCAGCAAGGAGCTGCATCGGGGTGCACAGCACAGGGGGGCCCAAGCTGGTGGGGGAGCAGCTTTGTTTTGGGGAGGCAGAGGGTGAGGTGGTGACGTGAAAGCTTTGTTCCCGTCCGGTAATTGTTTGAAAGGCTTCGTTCCTGTTGGGTGATTGGGGAGAGATTCCAGACTGGAGCCGACCCCGGCCGTGCTGCTGTGCCAGCAGACGCTGTTTGATGTGTTTGTGGGCTCAGTGTCCTGCACAGTGTTCCTGTCACATCCCACCACTCCCCCCTTTAGGGTCGGGACACACCGTGGAGCTGTCGAAGAACGCGGGTGTGCCGGGAGCAGCATTCCAGCATTCCAGCACGAAGGAACACGCTCTGCTCCCAGCCAGGCAGCCTAAAGAGGGGTCAGCACGGGGAGAAAGGAGTTTAATTACCAATGCTCGAGCTTCCTGGGCCCATTCCAGGCAGCCCTGGGATCCCGCCTTGTCCGTTCGCCCCGTTTGGTCCGATGCCTCCGGGCCCGTTGAGTCCCGGCCCGACGCCGTTGGGCCCGAATCCAGGGATTCCTGGAAAGTTCCCAGGGAAGCCTGGCACGACCGGGAGTCCCTCGATGCAGAGCCTGCGGTACTCGTCTGAAACAAAACAGCTGCCTCAGGGCTTCTCCTGAGGGGCCTGAATCCCGGGATGGGGACGGATCCGCGGGGAGCCGAGCGGGTGGGTGTGGTGGGAATGGGGTACATGGGGTGGGGAGGGCTTGAACACCCTTCACCCCGCAGCAGGTGAGGACACACAGCTCGCCAAGGTGTCTGGCAGCAGGTTTTTGGGGCGCTTGGCACAGTTGGCACCGCGGGCTCCCTTCCCGCCGGGAAGGATGGGACACACAGGAGGTGCCAGGCATCGAATAGCTCTGCCCTGCTCGGAGTTAGGGGTGAAAAAAGAAATGCAGAGAGATGTATCTACGTCTCTGGGCCTCCTCCAGATGCAGAGAGATGGATCTACACCTCTGGGACTCCTCCAGGCCTCCCGCTGCCTGGGCTCATCCCAAGGTTCAGTTATGGTGGGAGCCAAGGAGAGCTGAAGGAGTGGGAGGAAAGGGATGAATTCCTGCCTTGGCTCGGCTCATCTGGCTCAGCTTCAGCTGAGACCCAGGCAGGAGAACCAGCATCCCCAGGTGACCTTCCCTGGGTGTTCCATGGATGGGGGGTGGGATTTTTCTCCCAGGTAACAAGCGACAGGACGAGAGGAAACGGCCTCAAGCTGTGCCAGGGGAGGTTTAGGTTGGGGATCAGGGGGAATTTCTTCATGGAAAGGGTGGGCAGGCATTGGCACAGGCTGCCCAGGGCAGTGGTGGAGTCCCCACTCCTGGAGGGATTTAACAGACGTGTGGAGGTGACACTTGGGGACAGGGGGGGTTAGTGGTGGCCTTGGCAGTGCTGGGGGACGGTTGGACCTGATGATCCTGGAGGGCTTTTCCAATCACAGAATATGCTGAGTTGGAAGGGACTACAAGGATCATCCAGTCCAACCCCTGGCCCTGCACAGACACCCCAACAATCCCCCCCTGTCCCTCAGAGTGTTATCCAAGAGTTCTGGACATGTTCCCCAGGGTTTGCTTTTGTTCTTCTTCACTCCCTGCTCCTCTTTATTTAAGGAGCTGGGGCTTCATTTGTCCCCTACAAACACAGAAACATCCACAGCAACAATGCAGCAGGATTTCTGTAGAATCCTGAGCGGGAAGGGACCCCCTGGGATCACCAGGACACCCCAACAATCCCTCAGAGGATCATCCAAACCCTCCTGAAGCTCTGGCAGCCTTGGGGAATAACCATTCCATGGGGAGCCTGTTCAGTGCCCAACCACCCTCTGGGGAGGAAGAAACAATAATAATGGATATTACTCCTCCATAACACCCCACCCAACCCTCCCCCTCGATTCCAGGATTCCCCACATCGCGCCGGTGGCTCCGCCGGGGTTGGCACAGGCCGGAGCTGCCCGGGCAGCGGCAGAGCTGTGGTGTGGCACTCACCAGAGCCCCTCACAGGGCACATCTCGGGGGTCTGGCCGATGGCCCAGCAGCGCCCCGAGTCGCAGCAGCACTGCATCCTGGTGTACTGGCCCGGCAGGTCCCCGGCACAGCGGCCCCCGATGAGCGCCGAGAAACACGTCCCGATGCGCTGGTCTGAGGAGAGGAGGAGACACCATCACAATGTGCCAGCACAGTGTGCCAGCACAGAACCCTGGTGGCCTTCTGAGGGCTCATTCCCAACGGCATCTCTTCTGGCTGCCCCGTATCCCAACCCGGCCCCTCGTTCTGCCTCGTCCTCCCGCGTCGTGAGGTTCTCCAGCACCTCCCTCGGGAGCACATCGACGCTTCGGGTAGGGCCAGGACTCATTCTCAGGATTAAATCTCGCATTCCCATCCTCCCAGTCCCAGTCTTTTTCTCCCAGGCAGCCCCAGCCTCCCATTTAGGCTCTTAAAAGCAGCCAGACCAAGAGCCAGGCACGGGCAGCACGTGGGCAATCCCTCCTTGCCCTGCAGGAAGGACGAGCTGACCCAGCTGATTCTGGGTGGATTTACAGAGCAGAAAACAGGTGAGATCCCTCATCTCATCCCAGGCTTCCTCACCTTCCCCCAAAATCTGGATTATTTCCAGGTGTCTCCCTTCTCCCTCTCTACAGTTTCTGGGCTGGTAAGAGACACCAGGGGCAGGTTCCCCCACTGAGCCCACACCAGCTGGGAGAGGGGAGGTGGAACCTTGACTCTTCCCCTGCTGGCCAGATGAACCATTCTGGGCTAAATTCAACCAATTTGCATCCTGGGGCTGAGATGTCCATTCCTTAGGTTCCTCCTCTGCTGCTTGTGTCTGCCTTGCTCATTTATGTTCCATTTTGTGACCAAGGTTTGGCCACTGGCCAATGTAACACCACAACAGGCCCCGAATTTGGCCACAGGAGGAGCAGCACCTTCCCCTCTCTCGGGCTGTGGGACCCAGAGTGGTGTATTTTCCCCTGACTCCTGCCACCAAAACCATTTCTCTGCCATAAAAACAACCCAGCACTGCCTCCTGCTCTTGTTTCAGGGGTTCCCAGGCAGCAGAGGACGCTCCCCAGCCATTCCTGCTCCACTCCTGAAGCTTTGGCTGCACAGTCCTGCTCCTGGTTTTCCCTGGGAACCGCCAGACCAAGGTGGTTGGACATTTCCCACCCCACTCTGAGGCTGAGGGACCAGGTCCAACCCTCCCAGTGACCCTCAGCGCTGCCACCACCGTCCAGCGTGTCCTGCAAACCTCAGGTCCAAGCAAGGACCTTCCCAGAACTGTCCCACATCCCAGGTTTCCCGTGGGGAAGCTTTCCCTGCCAGCACCCAGCGGTCCCAGCATCTCCTGGGACTGGAGCTGTTCCCAATCCCACATCCCTCCGGCCCAGCCTGTTCCTGTTTCAGGCCATGGGCTGATTCCCACAGGCTGGACTGAGCTGGGAGGAGAAGGAGCCCTGGATGGTGGTCAAAGCCACAGACACTGAGCCTGGCACCGGGGTGGGGTGTGTGTGGCTTCTGGACCAGGCCCAGCAGACTGAGGGTCTTTCACACGTCTGGCAGGCTTCACCTGGCACCAAGAGCTCCAGGAAAAACCTGGAACCTTCCACTCCCTCATCTCCAGGAGATTAATGAGGGAGAAAGTCTCCTCTGCTGTGTCAGCTGTGGCTCTGGGCTGACATCAGCCTGGGCTCTAATGGAGATGAATTGCCTGGAGCTGTCGGATCCGTGGGCTGTGGTCCCATCCCAGAGCCCTGCAGAGGACACCGACCCCATCTAAAGCCAGGGGGACTAAAACAGCAGCTCTTTCCTCAGGCACAGCCCTCCCACCCCTCAGCAGGAACTGGTCCCTCCTTGGAAACTTCATCCACCAAAGCCACCCCTGGAGGAGGGAAATTTGAGAGAGGGGGTTGATGCAACACTGGATTGGCTCCTAATCCTAAAGATGGGAAGTACAAGCCACCTGGGTCATCCCAAAGCCTGGATCTCTGGTGAAGCAAGAGCACTGCCCACGTCTCTGCAGGTTCCAGCAGGTGCTGGGGGGTGGCAGGGCTGTGTTTCCACACAGGGAGCAGGCTGGGGTTACTTGGTTTTGGGAATTTTCAGTAATCCAGCAGAAGTGGAGGGACAGGACAAGGGGGGAATGGCTTCCCACTGCCAGAGGGCAGGGTTAGGTGGGATATTCGGGAGAAATTCCTCTCTGGCAGGGTGGGGAGGGGCTGGGATGGAATTCCCAGAGAAGCTGTGGCTGCCCCATCCCTGGAAAGTGTCCAAGGCCAGGTTGGAGCAACCTGGGCTAGTGAAAGCCCAGGGGGTGGGACTGGTTGAGCTTTAAGGTCCCTTTCACCCCAAACCACTCCGTGATTCTCCGTAGCCCCCTCTGACTCCCAAAAGCAGCTCCTCTCTGACCAACCCAGGGCAGGATTTTGGGACCACTTGGAAAAGCCACCCCTCGACCCCCTGATGGGAGTCATCCTTGTGAGGGCTCAGGGCTGAGCTTAAACCAACTCCTAGACCCGAGGGGGGTAGTTTGGAATAAACAAACCCTTCGGGGGCATCAGAGATCCCCACCCAGCTCCTTTCGTCCCTGCTGGATGTCCCCAAGGCTGGCAGGCAGGGTGACAGCCAGGCTGTGAACAGGGGAGGCTTGGAGAGCTCAGGCTCCTTCCCCACGGCCAGACAAAGTGCTGACAAGCGTGACAAGGCGGGGAGGGGGCACAGCAGTTTGTGTGACACGGGGGAAACGCTCCAGCCCTTGTTCCGTCTGGCCCCCGGTTATTAAACTCAGCTGCTCTGCCGCGGTTTGCAACAATCCCGCTCCGAAATGAAGGTCAGAGCTAATTAAAAACTCATCTGCAGCTGCCTCGGGCAGGGAGAGGGGTGGGTGGGAAGAGCTGTGTCCCTGCAGTCCCTCTGTGATCTCCTCCAGGGCCACCCACACGCTGGAGGTGGGAGAACAGCTTGTCCTGCCCTCCTTCCTCCTCCTCCTCCTCCTCCTCCGCTGCTTCGGGAACGGGTTTCCACAAAAACCCCTCAGGAAAGCAGAAAATGCTGCAGGGAGACGGGAGGGGCAATTCCAAGTGGGATTAGAGAGTGCCAGGAGGTGGGGGATGGAGCCACAGGTCTGGCTGAGGTCTCTGGGTCAGAAAGGCTGGGGAGGGTTTACGAGGCAGGAGATGGAGTTTTGGGACCTTCCACTGGGATCTCGCAGGGTTTGCACTCCAGCTGGGCCACGGGGAGCGTGTCCTGGTGCCCAGGAGGAGCAGGATAGAAGGTTATCCAGTGTGGCTTATCCCTAACTTCCCATTCCACACCCTCTCTTCCCATTCCATGTGGTCTGCACGAGGTGTCTGAGCTCTGTCCTGCACCTGCAGGGGATTCCTGCACTTTAAATCCTAAGGAATGGAGCTGGGGCAGGAGCAGGGAGAGAGGGAGGGAATGGGAAAGTTCTGGTGCCGCTTCCCAGGAATTAAGGAAGAGGAATTTAAGGGTGTTTCCCTCCCTTTGTGTCTCGTCAGGAGCAAAAATTGAGAAGCTCAAGTGACCAAAGCCAAACGTGCCTGGAAGTGTCCAAGGCCATGTTGGAGCAACCTGGGATAGTGGGAATGTCCCTGCCCATGGCAGGGGGGTGGGACTGGATGGGCTTTAAGGTCTCTTCCAGCCCCAGCCATTCCACGATTCCATGAGCCTCAGATTTCCTTCCTCCCCTTGCTCTTTTCTCTCCTGGACAAACGACCCAAGTGGACAAAACTCTCCAGGCAGGTGAAGCCCTCAGTGACACCCTCAAAACCTTCCCCAAGCCCAGGACTTGGCAAGGCTAAAGCAAAGCTTGGCCTCCCCCAGAACTGGAGGCTGTAAATCTGCCAATGCTGCCCCAAGAGAGAGAAACCAGCCCCAAATCTCCTCGAGCTTTGCTGCACTACCAGGGGGAAAAAAAAGAGCTAAAAAAGCAACGTTCTGGTTTGCAAGGTCTGGAACAGCACGGGCAAGTCTGCAAATGCATCTGTAAGGCCGTTTTTCCCCTCCTTGGAAAATCGTCCTTTGAAGCTGTTCTTGAAGAGAAAACTCATTGTAGCAACAAAAAAACCCCTCCCAGGCTGCTGGAGCAGATCCTTCTGCTGCCTAAAAAAAACCCAAAAACCCCTCCCAGCCCGGCTTTTACAGGCAGAACTGAATGAAACTGTTCTGAGCACGTGTGGGACTGGACTCTTTGTGTCAAGCCCAGGTGGTTGAAGGGTTCAATAAATGCTCATTTCAAACCATGACGGGCTTTCTCCAGCCTTGCTGCTCGGGGGGTTTTACTGGGCAGGGCAGTGAGAGAAGTTAATGAGGTTGGGGATCAGCTCAAGCCCCAGGTTTTGCTGTTCCAGCTGTAAAAACTCCGGGAGATTATTCAAATGCAATAAAAAAAGGTGTTTGCATCACTAAAAAGGGAGGGGAATATGTCAAGACACCACATAGCCAGTGCTGGTGCCCTTTGAGATATATATATATTTATATATTTTTATTTTATATATTTTATATATTTATATGCATTTATATATTTATATATTTTATATTTTTATATTTTTTATATATTTATATTTTTATATTCTTATATATTTTATATTTATATACATTATATATTTTATATTTTATATATTTTTGTATATTATATATTTTATATTTTATATATTTTTATATATTATATATTTTATATATTTTTATATATGATATATTTTTATATTTTATATATTTTTATATACTATATATATTTATATATGTATATTTATATATATATAGACACTGTGGTCACCTCCAACCTAAACATCTCAGAGGTACCAGTGTGACAGTCTCTCCTGTCTCTCTCCTGATGCTGTTCATCCTTGAAAAGTGGCCATTATTAACAAATGGCCATAATTATAAATAAGTGGCCATAATTAATAAATGAGTTATTAATTCCCAATTTTCCCAGCCATTCCTTCGATTTGTTTTCACACAACTCTCAAAAAAAACCCCAAAAAACCACCAAAAACACAACCATGGAAGCAAAGTCTGCAAAAATCTGGATCCCAGGGCAACGACACCCAAGAGTAACTGTGAGTTTGGCCAAAAAAAACACGGCCCTGGCCCAAAATGAGCTCGGGGGGAAATGACGTGGGGAGTTCGGATCCACTGCAGCTAAATCAGCTCGGGGGCTATTTTTAAACGTGGGCTTTCTAATTTTTTATTTAGCTTTGGTCTCAAGGAAAAGTCCATGTGACTCATCCATCACGCTTCTCCCTCCGGGCTCGTGGCAGGGACTGGCAAACAGGGATGAGAAGAAGAAATTTTGTCCTCGTTAAAAATCCATCGGATTCCCAAACGAGAGGAACTCGTGCTTTGCTTCTTACTCACACTTGACAACAACGTTTCTCTTTGTGGGATTAGAACATGTCTAATTTTGCTCCGGGTTCCGTGGATAGAAAAGAATCTGGAGCTGATTTTTCTTTTTTTTATTATTTTTTTTTTTCCCTGCTCTATTAATTCCCAGGATTTCCAGCTCTACCTGACATTTTGCATTGCAGCAACAACGACCTTTGCCTTTTCTGTGCCAGTCCCTCCTTCCAAAATCCTCCCAGTCCTGGTCTTTCTGGAGGCAAGTGAACTTTCTGAACTGGGTGAAAACATCCTGGGATTCATTCTGACTCAAGCAAGTGCCCCTGCTGAGAGCAAGCAAACACCAAACTGGTCTGTTTATCACAGGAACTGTTGTCTGGCACAAGGAGAGATGGCCCATCAAATATTTACAAGCCTTTGGAAAGGAATTTCGAGCTGTTCAACGTGGAAGATTCGCTCCAGGCTTTAGGCTGGGGGCAGGAAAGCTCAGCTTTCCTGGATTCAGGGCCAGTTTGGGGAAGAAGCTTTGAAATTTGGCCACTTTGAGCCGAACTGGGAGAGGGATCAGCTGGTGGAGCAGCACAGACCAACCCCACCGAGCTGCTCGTGGCACCACAAGGCTGGGATTTCCATGGAAAACTGGGAATTGGGCTGGTGCCAGGCTTGGATGCTGTGGGAGAGCTCCCAGCACATCCCAGTGATCCCAGCACCGGGGCAGGGATGGGTGTCTGGGATTCCTGGGCTGGGGAAGCTCCTCTTCCTCTCCCAAAAAACCAGCTCAGGGCAAAGCAACCCCCTCCAAAAGGCTGAATTTAGGGAGATGGAGCCAAAGGAGCCCTGTGGATCCTTAGCTTGGGAAAATTAGGATTTTTGGGCAGGGAAGAGGAGGAGGTGAGAAAATTCCCTGTTTATTTGCACTGGTTCATAAACACCTGGAGGAAAACTTTCCCCCTTTCACCTCTGCAGAGCAAGTGGGTGAATGGGCAGTTGGGGGGTTGTTCCCACCACTGGGAAGGATCCCAAGCCTTCCCTTGGATTGGGAAGGCCACCCAACCACACCCCGTGCCCACAGTTTGTACTGGGAGTACTGGGGTCACTCCCTGGATAACTCTCCATGCAGGAGAAAAAGGAGGGATATCTGGGATCCTCCTGCAAGCTGGGAGGATCCCAGGGGCAGGAGCACAAGGATCCTTCCTCACAGACCACAATCCCACCCAGACACCTTCCACCCCACTCCGGCGGGAATTCGGGATGGCCCCGGAACCCAAACCCCATGAGGGGTCTGGGGAGGGCTCCTGGGGGAGTGTGGGTTCCAGAGCACGACCTGTGGGGCCGGGCCGTGGTTTAGGGTCTCACCGATGCAGCGGGATCCGTCGGGGCTGGTCATGAAGCCCCGGGGGCAGGTGCACACGTAGCTGCCCGCGGTGTTGGTGCACTCGCCGCCGTCACACGCGCCGGAGATGGCCCCGCACTCGTCCACGTCTGCAAGAGAACACACCCAGGGCGGGGTTGGCCTTCGGAGAGTCTCCTGTCCCGCCCGGATCCGGCTCGAAGAGGGGCAGGAGTGGGGTTAGGGGTGGTCGTGGGATGCTCCAGGTCATCGCTGGTCTGCTACGGGCAACAAGAGGCTCCCACACCGAGGGGTTCATGGAGTCTCTCCCACACTGAGGGGTTCATGGACACTCTCCCACACCGAGGGGTTCATGGAGACTCTCCCACACCGAGGGGTTCATGGAGACTCTCCCACACCGAGGGGTTCATGGAGACTCTCCCACACCGAGGGGTTCATGGAGACTCCCACACCGAGGGGTTCATGGACACTCTCCCACACTGAGGGGTTCATGGAGTCTCTCCCACACTGAGGGGTTCATGGACACTCTCCCACACCGAGGGGTTCATGGAGTCTGTCCCACACCGAGGGGTTCATGGACACTCTCCCACACCGAGGGGTTCATGGAGTCTCCACAAGACTCAGGGTTTCATGGAGTCTTCCCAAGACCCTCCCACACCAAGGGTTTCATGGAGTTCCAACAAGATTCTCTCACACTGAGGGGTTCATGGAGTCTCCACAAGACTCAGGGTTTCATGGAGTCTCCACAGGACTCTCCCACACTGAGGGATCCATGGAGTATCCATAGGAATCTCCCACACCAAGGGTTTCATGGAGTCTCCACAGGACTCTCCCACACCAAGGGATCCATGAAGTCTCATGGAGTCTCTCCCACACTGAGAGTTTCATGGAGTCTCCACAAGACTGAGGGTTTCATGGACTCTCCACAGGACTCTCCCACACCGAGGGTTTCATGGAATCTCATGGAGACTCTCTCACACTGAGGGGTTCATGGAGTCTCCAAGACTCTCCCACACCAAGGGTTTCATGGACTATCCACAGGAATCTCCCACACTGAGGGGCTCATGGAGTCTCCACAAGACAGGGTTTCATGGAGTCTCTTGGAGTCTCTCCCACCAAGAGTTTCATGGAGTCTCTACAAGACTGAGGGTTTCATGGAGTATCCAGAGGACTCTTCCACACCAAGGGTTTCATGGAGTCTCATGGAGACTCTCCCAACCGAGGGGTTCATGGAGTCTCCACAGGACTCTCCCACACCGAGGGTTTCATGGAGTCTCCACAGGACTCTCCCACACCAAGGGTTTCATGGAGTATCCACAGGAATCTCCCACACCGAGGGGTTCATGGAGTCTCCACACGACTCTCCCACACCGAGGGTTTAATTTCAATTTTTGATCAATATAATTAAATGCTCAAGGCTTGGGGGGCACTTGGCTCCAAGGATTGTCTGGAAGCAAGAGTTGGAGCTTGGGCCATCTTTGGTTGGCCTCAATAAGGGTTTTTTTTTCCTTAATGATTCAATGATTTTATGATTTATTTTTTTTAATTGGCAACTGAAATGTGTTTCAGGAACTGAGCTGGAATCAGATTCAACCTCTAATTAATTAATTAATCCCCCCAAAGCAGTTGGTTGGTGGTAAAAAACAGAAGGAATATTTCACCTGATGGTTTTTACAGTGGCAAAAAAACCCTCCTCAAACCCATTGGTAAAATGAATTATTTCTGTTAAACAACGTTATTTATGACATCCTAAAACCTGTGGTGCTGTTGTGAATGGATAAGGGGCTTTTTTCTCTGCTGCCTGGGGCTGGCAGGAAGGAACTGGTCAGAGTTTGGTCCTTGGAGGGAATTTTTTCCGCTGGGAAGAGCGGCCTGATGGCATTAACACGTGTGGAGCTGGAGGTGCTGCAGGGCAAAGACTAACCTGCAAAAAAAAAAAAGGCTAATCTAAAAAAAAAAAAAAAGGGGAACTAATCTAAAAAAAAAAAAGACTAATAAAAAAAAAGTCTAATTTGCAAAAAAAAAAAAAGGCTTATCCTAAAAAAACAGAGTAATGTAGAAAAAATGACTAATCTAAAAAAAAAAGACTAATCTAAAAAAAAAAAATTAATCTAAAAAAAAAAGACTAATCTGCAAAAAAACAAGACTAAACTAAAAATAAAAGACTAATCTGCAAAGAAAATCTGCCAAAAAAAAAGCCACAACAGCAAAGACCCCTCGTGTGGGAGGGGGGTGGAGGGGATTTTTGGAAGAGCTCATCCGGCAGATTTTCTGGGAAAGGGTCACCTGGGAGCCAGAACTCCTGGGTGTGAGGACGGATACGAGAAAGGAGCAGTAAAATTCCGTAGGGAAATTAATGTGGGTGACCCCGAGGGGCGGTGACTCGGGTCCTTGTCCGGCGGGAAATGAGGAATGCTGGAGCTGGGAAGGGAATCGCGATCCCACAGTGCCCTGCAGTGGCTGCAGGTGCCAGTGCAGCCCCGAAGGTGGGAGGGAGAAAGGCAGGGGATGTTTAATCCTGCTCTGATCTCCCCCTGCTCCAGTGGGAAGTGTCCCTGCCCATGGCAGGGGTGGAACTGGATGAGCTTTAAGGTCCCTCCCATCCCAAACCATCCCAAACCAGTCTGGGATTCTCCGTAGCTGAGCTGATGTTGGTTGTTATTCCCATTTCCAGGCACAATCAGCTCTTCCTGAAGTTCCTGCACTTTTTAGCAGCAGCTGTTGTGACAGCACAAGGGGGGAATGGTTTCAAAGTGCCAGAGGCAGGGTTAGGTGGGATATTGGGAAGGAATTTCTCCCTTTGAGGGTGGGGAGGGGCTGGGATGGAATTCCCAGAGAAGCTGTGGCTGCTCCATCCCTGGAATTGTCCAAGGCCAGGTTGAAGCAACCTGGGATAGTGGGAGGTGCCCCTGCCCATGGCAGGGGGTGGAATCCAACAATCTTTAAGGTCCTTTCCAAGCCAACCCATTCCATGATTCCACAGTGCTGAGGGCACAGTGCTCTGCAGTGCCAACAAAAGATAAAAATCAAATCGGAGACATTCGAAATTCCAGCTTGGATTTAAAGATTCCCACCAGTGGGAGCTCCATGTGGTCAGAGGAACAACCTTTCCCCCTGTCCTTGCTCACCCAACCTGTCACAAACACAACTTGTTTTACTTTGGCTGCAGCTTTGACTGGAGGGACCAAGTGAAACCTCGATTTCAACAGCCACAAAATCGAACCCGAGCGCCCAGGGCGGGTTATCCACAGTCTAACCTGGAATTAGGGAAAAGGTTCTTCTCCCAGAGGCTGCCCATGGTCACTTCCCAAGGCTCCCAGAGCTCCAGGAGTGTTTGGACAACCCCCTCAGGGCCAGGGTGAGATTGTTGGGGTGTCCTGGGCAGGGCCAGCAGTTGGACTGGGTGATCCTCATGGATCCTTTCCCACACAGGATATTCCATGATTTCATTCTGTGGTTCTCTTTTGTGATTCTATGATTCTATTCTACTAAAAACAGGAAGACACTTCCCTGCTTGGCTTTTTAGGACTAAAATTCCGCCTTCAGCCACCACCTGAGATGTCCCCTGAGCCCTTCCCATGCTCCTCTGGCTCTTTGATGCTCAGAGCCCCTGGGACAGACGGAAACCTCCCAAGGCAGCAAAGCAAAAGGACAGAAAACACTTCCCCCACCTGGGCCCCTGCAGTGAAAAAGAGATTTTATCACTCCAGCCTGCCCTGTCATTTAATTACAGCCCTGCCTTGGGTTACAATTCACAGAGCACTGGAAGGAAAAGAGCTTTGTGGAGCAGAAGCTGGTTGTACTATTAGTGAAAAAACCAGTTTAATACTCGTGTGTAGCACTGGGAAAGTTGTTGCATCAGAGGGCTGGGGGCCAGATCGATACCTACAACACAGCCAGTCATCCAAAGGGGTGTGTGGGCACCAAATCCACTCCTTTCTTAAGGAAAAACAGTGAATTCAAGAGGTTAAATCCAACTGCAATTTTTTTTCCCCCCTGAAAATCCCAGCCCGGCCCAGAGCAGCAACCCAAGGAGCAGGAAAAGAGGCCGTTCCTCAAGCCTTGCACATCCTGTGCTTTGAGAACCTGAGCTCTGGGCTTTGTTGTTCTTTCAGTTCTTCCCCCACCACACATTTTTTTGCCTTCTTGGTTTTCCCTTTGTGAAGTGGTTTGGATTCATTGAGCCAGGGAGAGCCCGACACGGGTACATCCACCTCCCATTAACACCCGGCGCTGGGCAGGGAATCCTTCCAGCTCCAGCCTGGCTCCTCCACCACTTTTCCAGCCCTCTGTTAAAAATTAAAGCAACATTCTGCCTGCTCTGCTGTGCAGACAATGGCAGGATTCAAGGCAAACGTTGATTTTGGATCTGCTCTCCACCTCTGGCTCGGAGTCGGAGCCTGATCCTTACGGCTGCAAACGCTGGGAGCCAAAGGCTACAGAGCTCCAGAAGGAGCTGGAGGCTGCAAAGCCCATCCAAAACGGTGCCCACAGACATGTTGAAACCCCAACTTCTCCATCTGCTAAAAAAAAAAAAACCCAGGTCTTGATGGAGAAAACATCCCCGTGTCACGTAGCGAAGAGGTCAGGCCTCGACGGCGACTCACGGGACTCTGAGACCTCCCCTCCCAGAAAGCACAAAGAAACCACAGAGGAGAGGAATGGAACCCTCCAAACCACCCCAAATCCATGGAAATGAGCTTTTAATGGGGCCAAAACAATGAGCTCTTCTGTAGGAGTTTTGCAGGAAGGTTGAAAACGGGGCTAATAAAGCGGCTCTCGAGTTCCAGCCGAGCTCGTGGAAAAGATCCCTCTCCCCTGTGCAGAAACAGGGGTGAGATTGGACAGAGTGAAAAATAGAGCCTTGTGTTCGTCAGAAAACACGGGATTTTGTGCCCCTGGTGACAAAAGAGGGACATAAGTAACATCTAAATAGAAAGGGGTGAGCGAAAATTGGTGATATTTGCAATTAAAGGCTCCGTTCTGCCCCGGCAAAACCTCCTGGAGAGGCCAAGAGTGGTCAAAAAGGACTTCTTCTGGAGGGATTGGAACAGAGCTTGTTGCACACGGTTTACAGAGCCTTCCTCTCCCTTTCCTGGTGTTTCTCCCTGGGTTTTTTTGGTATGTCATCACCCTGGAACAATTCAAGACGTGAGACATTCCCTTTGGAAGCATCCTGGCCTTGCCTCACTGATAGCAGAGCTGGCCTGGCATTTTGTCATCCAGCACAGGAAGGGCTATTAGAAAGTTAAAATTCTTGGCAGAGGAACACTGGAATTGTGGCAGGAAGAGCTTTGTTCAGCCAGTGATTCCACCCCTTAACTGCACACCACGGAGCCGTTCCCCTCGGTGCAATTTTTACGGCCGCTTTTCCAGGATAATTTAAAAATGTCACTGGTCCCAACAACCCCCCACTTCCCTGTGATTTATGGATCGAGGGCTTTGCATCAGGAGGATGGGCCTGAGCTCAGCTTTGATGTTTTCCTCTCTCCATTTTGCACCAGGAGGGTTTTCTTGCGTCCTCCTCAACGATTTTGCTCAGCTGGATAAAACCATGAGCCTCTCTCCAGGCTCCCCCACTTCTCATTCCCCTACAAACCTCCACAAATCCTGCTTTTTTTCCCTTTTTTCCCTATCAGGCATAGGATCTATTGATTCAGCCCTAAGCTGGCAACTTCTGCCCTCCTTGCTGATCTTTTTGGACAATATAAACCCAATTTTTGGTGCTATGGTTTAAAAGCCTTACTTTAGGGAGCAGCCTGACCCCTCCCCACCCTAAATCCACCCCAAATTCGCCCCCATGAATTCCATGATTCACAGGCTGCTCATATCCCTCAGAAACTCTTGTGCCAGCAAGTTCTCCTTAGACATTGCACAGCCCCAAGCTCAGGAATTCCTGATCCCTCCAGTTCCCTGGGAACACAAGGAACAAAAGGAATCACAGCAGTGTCACATTTGTCAGGGATGAGCTGCAGAAACAAGCCTGGAACTGAGCAACCCTGAACTTGGAGGATATTCAGGTCCAAATCCGAGCAGAGAGGAAAAAAAAAGGAACCTCGTTTTCTTTCTGGAGTTGACCAAAATCCAGGCCCAAAAATCCAGCTGCAGCCTCCTGGGAGCTCAGGGCCTCCTCCACTATCAGCCTGGAATATCTTTATTCCACACAAGGAAAGCATCTTTATTCTTCAGGGATGCAGGGACTGAAAGCAGAGCCCCCAACTCCAGGTGCCTTTTGTGTTAAGAGATAAGTATCACTGATGGGAAAGCACCAACATTATCTCTCCTCCTGCCTGTTCCCACCAACAACCAGCCCCGAGGAGATTAGTGGCACATGCTGCTGCTGTTAATTAGGGAGACATCATTAATCAGCAGCCCTGGTGACACCGGGCTCTGACCTTTGGCTGCAGCACAATCCCATCTGCTGACTTCACCCCCCCCCAGGAGGAACCTTCCTGAGCACAAAACACAAGCTCCTGGGAATCAGGGAAGAATTTACCATCTAGTTTTAATATTTCCTGGATGCTGGGGCTTGGATGAGGAAACCTGAAAGCGAGAGGGAAGCATCTTCCCTTCCTAAAGCAAGAAGGGCTCAGTGCACATGGAAAAATCCCTCCTTTCACCAGCTCTAAAATTAACACAGGGACTCAATAAGGGAACTGCTCCAGCACGGAGATTTTAGGCCTGGAGCACACCTGGGTGAAGAATAAATCTGTCCCTGTGTGCCTGTGGTTGTTATTTTGGTTCTCAGCCTTGGCTGGGGGAGGAGGGGCCGTGGATGGAGATTTTTGGCAGCAGGTCGGGAATTGGGATCCTCAAATTGGATCCTCAGCTTTGATTCTCGACTCCCTGAGGTACCAAAGCACTCAGCAAACTCTGAGAGGGGCTCAGATCTTCCTAAATTTATCAAGTGTGAGCAGCAGACACGGTGCTGCCTCTGTATTCCCTTATTCACATCATTTTAGGGAATCACGGGGCACATTCCTAGAGGGGAGCAGTGATGCCCCAACAAAGGTGATCCCACAGTTCTGTGATCATCCTGATGGGACATGCTGGTGATTCTCATGTGGGAAACAAGCCCTCCCAAGCAACCCCAACCCCATCCCTGTAGAGCATCCCTCCTGTTTATGTCGTTCCCACAGAAGGACTCCCAGATCCCTCAATCCCACCCAAGCAAAGCCTCCTCTTTCCGTGGTCTCCTTAGCAACCAAGGCAAGATAAGTGATGGAACAGAACCCTGTGGATGCTGGAGATGTCTCTTTTTATGGCCATGCAGGAAGGAGAGTGAAAGGCAGCTGTTTATGGCCACATGGTGCTGCTTTGGCAGGCGCTGGGGGCCCCTCAGCATCTGGACGACAGACCCAGACAATGGATTGGTTTTAATCTCAAAGATTCCAGCTAAACTGATTGCAGATGCTCTCTGCCTGCTCCCCAGCCAGCGTGGGTGAGGCAGAGCAAGGACAAGAACGACTTTTTGTTGCCCACAGTTCCAGGGCAGGGCAGAGAAATTCCACAAGACACCCTGGATTCGGGTCCTTCCCCCAGACATGGATCAAAAGGCTGGGCTGGACCCTCCCGCTTTCAGGTCCTGGAATGTCAGAGCACTGCAAGAAACCCCCTTTGCTGTTGGAATTTTAGGGAAAGTCTCGTGGCATCCTGCCAGGGAAGATCCACAGGCACAGATGTCTTCTGGAGATAAAAGAAGGTCCATCCCCCCCAGTCCAAGGATTGACCTCTGGAGCTTGGTGTTCCACTTTGGGAAAAGATTTTCTGAGGGGCTGAACCCAGGTCACAGAATCCTGGAATCACAGACTGGTTTGGGTTGGGAGAAACCATAAAGATCATCCAGTTCCACCCCCTGCCATGGGCAGGGACACCTTCCATTAGCCCAGGTTGCTCCAACCTGGCCTTGGACACTTCCAGGGATGGGGCAACCACAGCTTCTGCAGGCACTAGAGACTACTGGAATTATCCTAGCAAGGAAAATGCCTGGATTACAGGAGAGTGGGAGTATGGGAACAATCCCCTGGGAGCAGTGATGCTCCTTTCCTGGAAAAAAATGACTTGGAAGAAACCCCTCTGAGACAAGGAATGCTGTCAGGAATGCTCTAAGTGCTCTCCCTGTGTAGCTTTGCCACACAAATTCCATGTTGAAGGTCTGGATTTCAGTGCATTCCTCACCCCTTCTCTTGGTTACAGCAAAGCCTTGGAGAGGAATGAGAGGGAGGGGGAGCTCCTGAGGGATCCAGCAAGGTGGGACTCGATCCCAACATGCTCCATCCATGTTTTCCCACAGAACTGTGTGTCCTGGTCTAGGTGAGCCCCAAATTTATCTGAGGCATACACTGGACCAACTCACCCCAAGCCCAGGAGCAAAGAGCAGTTCCAGGAGCTCCCAGAAAACTTCCAGAGTTCTCCCTTAACTACCACAACCAGCCTGGAAATTGTTAAATTCTCACACCTCATGTGAAGACCCTCAAAAGGAAAGACTTTGAGTTTTCAAAGCTTGATCAGACTGAGCTTTGAAGGCATCCCTGAGCTAAGCAGAGACCTAAAGCCTTCCAGAGATCCCTTCTGACCTGTCAGTCTGTGTTGCCATGAAAATATCCTTCAGAAAACACCTGCCTGAAAAATCCAACCCCCTTCTTTCTGGTTTAAGAGAAGATCAGGCAAGCCCTGCTCCTCCTTTCCTTGCCTTGGGGCTCCGGGAACCAAATAAACAGATTAAAAAGTCATTTTTTGGCACTTCCTCCTGTTTGGGAGGCAGGATCAAGCCTGGCATGGGAGATCTCTCCCATCTTTACTTGGAAGTGCCCTGTGAGCAGAGAGATCCTCAAGATTTCCACCCCCTTGTGCTCTCAGGATGTTGGGAATCTGAGCATCCTTCAGGTCCGAGCCTTCCTTACCTTCACACCTGTGGCTGGTCTCGCTCTGCTTGTGTCCTGCAGGGCACTTGCACTCGTAGGAACCCACGGTGTTGATGCAATTCCCACCTTGGCAGAGGCCAGGGATGGCTTGGCACTCGTCCACATCTGTGGGAAGAAGAGCAGGGACGTGAGGAAGCGCGGCCATCCCACGGATCCACGTGGGAGGAAAGCTTTGCTCCAAGATCACGTTTCATAAACCCCCTCAGACTGCACCAGAGATAAAGTGAAGGACAGGAAATGGCCCTAAATGGTATTCCTGGCTCATCCACACGAGCAGGAGGGAGGCAAAAGTCTGGGAATGCTTTCCAAAGCAAATGCCCGTGTGTCCGTCCCCCCGCGGTTCGTTCCTCAGGGAAGGCTGGGGTTTAATTTTGAACCTGGAGAAACACCAGCCTCGATTCACCCCCTCTCGTGGGGTGGAGGAGGTTTGAGAACTGCACTGTGGCCGGAATCTTTGAGCTAAAATGATCCTGGATGATCCCATGGGAGATCCAACGTCCGTGGTGCTGCTCTGGGAGACACGACGACGGATTGTGGGAGTCACACAGAGAGTTCTCTGTTTTGGGGCTCTGTTCTCTGTGTTACATGTTTTAGGGCTCTGTTTTGAGGCTCTTCTCTTTGTTCCCTGTTTTAGGGCTCTTTTGGGGCCCTGTTCTCTGTGTTCCCTCTTTTGGGGCCCTTTTCTCTGTGTTCTGTTTTGGGGCCCTGTTCTCTGTGTTCCCTGTTTTGAGGCCCTATTCCATGTATTCTTTGTTTTGGGGCCCTGTTCTCTTGTGTTCTCTGTGTTCCCTGTTTTGGGGCCTTGTTCTCCACGTTCCCTGTTTTAAGGCTCTGTTTTGGTGTCCTGTTCTCCATGTTCCCTTTTTTAGGGCTCTGTTTTGGGGCCCTGTTCTCCATGTTCCCTGTTTTAGGGCTCTGTTTTGCTCCCTGTTCCCTGTATCCATTGTTTTGGGGCCCTGTTCTCTGTGATCCCCATTTTTGAGCTCTGTTTTCACCTCCTATTCTCCGTGTCCCCTATTTTGCTGCCCTATCCTCTGCATTCCCTGGCACACCCTCCTCCTCCCTCCCCTCTCCCAGCCCGGGCACATCCCCGGTGGCACCGACCTTGGCAGGCTCCGGTGCGGATATTTGGGATGAACCCCCGGCGGCAGGGATGGGGCTGGGCAGGACACATCTCACAGGGGTGTCCCCAGGCCCGGCCGATGGTGGCACAACACATGGTCTTGGTGCAGACGATGCCACTGAGCTGGCCCTGGCACATCTGGTTGTTCACTTGGCTGAAGCACGGCCCGGTCCGATAATCTGGGAAAAGGGGGGGGAGAAAAAAAAACCACATCCAGGGGTTAGATCCCGACAGGAACACGAGGGTTCCTCGGCCGTTCGGGTGCGAATCGACGAGTTCTGAGGGGGAAAAATAAAAATAAAGCCCTGCAGTGATGAAAAGAAGAGAAATTTCAGGCCTGTGCTGGCTCTAAAATGAGCTCAAAATAAGAAGAGGTGGTTTCAGGGCTGCGGTTTCACCTGTTCTGTGAAGCAAAGCAATCAAATTTTATTTTATTTAGGAGCAAAGATCCACCCCTGGAAGTGTCCAAGGCCAGCTTGGAGCAACCTGGTCTAGTGGAAGGTGTCCCTGCCTTCCTTAAGGACCTTCTTTAAGGTCCTTCCAACCCAAACCATTCTAGGTCATGATTAATTCCTTCAATTTAACTCTTAAAAGATCCCCTGGCAGTTTGAACTTTAAAAGCCCAGATGCTGCAGAAGCAACTGGTGTTTCCCATTCCCCAACCAGGATCCTCCCATCCCTTAAAACCAAAAAAAAAATAAAAGGATTTTTGAAGGGCTTTGCTTGCACTGAGGAATGTTGGGTTTGACCCTCGATTAGGGATATTGGCACAGCAGGAAACTAAATTCTGAAATAATAAGGTTTTCCCTTCTGCTGGGAATAGGTGATTTCGTGTAAGTGTTTGATCTGTGGCTGGAAAAAAAAAGACCTTTAACCCAGAAAATTCCACATGAACTGTCTGAGGAAGTTAAGTGTTGGTCTGGCTGAGATTTGCTGAGGGAATTTCGAGGTTGGAGAGTCCAGTAATTAGTGATTGCCTGTGAACCCAACTCCTGCATCAGCTCCAGGATTAACCCCCAGCTGTCTTTGCAGTGAAATATTTGGATTTGATGTGTGAAGCGACCAAAAAGTCGTGGGGGGGGGGGGTGGTTATACCTGAACAACGAGCCACAGGCACCCACAGGCAAAGGGGAAGAGTTTAACCTGGGCTAGAATTGTCCCACCCGGAAAACACACAAGAAATCCTGGGAAAGGACCAATTAGCAAAATAATTGCTTATTTCCAGCTTAATGCTCCCTCTGATTTGTGTTTCTTGAGCAGCTGGGAGCACGGTCAGGCTTGAAAATTAACGCTGATAAAAGTGAAACGAGAAGTTTGGTCCGTGGGTGTCACCGAGATCAACAGCAAGAAGGATTTGAGGGGAAAAGAGAGCACTGATTTTGAAGTGAAAGAGGTGTAAAGGTGATGGGATCTCATAAAAAAAGCCCTTTTTTTTTTTTTTGGCAGCCTGAACAGAACCACGAGCCACGTTTGCAAAGGTGAGTTACCAAATAACCGTATATTGGGGTTTTTTGACTCAAATTTTATCGAGATACCGAAAGCAGCAGAAGAAGACGCTCCTCAAAGGGACTCAGAAAGTCAGATTAATAAATGTATAACCCCAAACCAACGCAGGAAAGGGGGTGGACTTGCACCTCCCACCTCCTCTGGAGACGGAAGCACCGCAGCAAGAATTCCTGGAGATGGATCCTAATGAAAGCACAATTGTGAGGAGAACACCCCCTTTGAAACAAGCACTTGACAAAAATAGATTTTCCTATGTAGATTACTCCTTTGGAGGGGAATGAAGCCAAGGAAATTGCAGTCTGGAGGCCAGGAAGCCTGGCTGCCTTCCAGCTCCCATCTGTTGCTAATTCGAACGGGCAAATTATTAAATTTTTAATGAGGCACCAATCAAATTTTATTAAGGAAATACAGATGCTTAGGAGATGTCTAAAGCCCTTTTCCAGCCCGTGTTACGGGATCTCATCTTCCAGGAACCTCAGTGCAGGGTAAGTTGTCCTTTCAGAAGTCCTGGTTTTTCCCTGGAAAAGCAGAGGTGAGGTGCTGAAAAACTGGGATTTCTGCTTCCTCTTCCAAGCTCGCTCAGCTTTACAACAAGAAGAGCCCAGTGGTGGGACATGGATGAGTTCCACCTTCCCACCTCCAGGTGAAGTTCTCGTGACAGAGATTGCAAGAAATACCGGATCAGGCTTGATTTTTGGGAAGCTTCAACCATGGCAAGGTGGGTTCAGCTGCCTAAAAACAACCCCCCTGACTCCACCACCCCAAAAGGACCCGGCCAAGAGCGAACATCCAGCGGGGGACAGCCCTCAGCTCCTCTCCCAACATCCATCAGCAGCCTCGTATCCAGGCACTTGATCCTGTTGCCATATTAATTTCCAGCTAAAACCACGCTCGACACGTTCCATCTGTAAATTCCTTATCGCTGGGGTTACTCCGGGGTTACTCCGGGGTTATTCCAGGGTTATTCCGGGGTTACTCCGGGGTTATTCCGGGGTTACTCCGGGGTTACGCCCCGTGTCTTCTTGCTTGAATTGCAAAAGACACTGTGGAATCAGAGCTGAACCACGAGCCAGGTAGGAAGGGAGCTGGGAGTGGGGATGGACAGGGAGCTGAACAGGAGCCAGAGTGTGCCCAGGGGGACAAGAAGGCCAATGGATCCTGGCCTGGCTCAGGAACAGGGTGGCCAACAGGGCCAGGGAAGTGATTCTTGCCCTGGACTCAGCGCTGGTGAGGCCACCCCTGGAGTGCTGTGTCCAGTTCTGGGCCCTCAGCTCAGGAAGGACATGGAGGGGCTGGAGCAGGGCCAGAGGAGAGCAACGAGGCTGGGGAAGGGACTGGAGCACAAGTGCTGTGAGGAGAGGCTGAGGGAGCTGGGGGGGCTCAGCCTGGAGAAGAGGAGGCTCAGGGGAGACCTCCTCACTCTCTGCAACTCCCTGACAGGAGGGGGGAGCCAGGGGGGGGTTGGTCTCTTTTCCCAGGCAACCATCAGCAAGACAAGAGGGCTGGGTCTGAAGCTGTGCCAGGGGAGGGTTAGGTTGGATATTAGGAAGAATTTCTTTGCAGAGAGGGTGCTCAGCCATTGGAATGGGCTGCCCAGGGAAGGGGTGGATTCTCCATCCCTGGAGGTTTTTAAGCTGAGACTGGATGTGGCATCAGTGCCATGGGCTGGGAACCACAGCGGGGTTGGATCAAGGCTTGGATTGATGATCTCGGAGGTCCCTTCCAACCCAGCTGATTCTGTGATTCTATGATTCTATGAAATGGGGCCCTTTGCTCAAGAAATGGGACTCTTTGCTCTGCCCTCCCCACCCCTGCAGAGCCACGTCGGGGCTACAACGAGTTGTACCCACTCAACCCCTCAGCCAGACGTGCTCAGAGGAGGAGGAGGCCTGACAGGGACAGACCTCCTGCATTTAAGAGTTGCACTCTGTGGTCCCTGTGAGTCCCTTCCAGCTGGGAATGTTCTGGGATTCCCAGTCTCCTGTGTGGGAATTCAGATGCAAAAGCAGGAATAATTGCACGACTTTCTTTGTTATTTAAAACACAACCCCCCCTCCCAGGGTGTGAGCAGATCCCAAGGGAAGGTGAAGGAACTGAAGAGCTGCTCCCACCCCTCTTCCAGCCTGGGTTCCTCTGGCACCATTTGGCTGGAATTCCCTCCTGGGACAGGCCCCGGGGCCGGGTGAATTCCTTCCTTCCAAAATAAACAAACAGAGAGGAGATTTTGCTTTGCTGAAAATCCAATTCCTTCTCCCAACAAACAATGCCTTCACTGGGGGCTTTTTATTTAAAACACTGAGGACAAAAGGATGCCTGTGAGTCCTCCCTGGGCATCTCTGGACTCACTGGCATGAGGGCACCCCAACACACCCCCCAGGCCTTGGCAGGAGGCCCCGCTGGGATCTGAAAGCTCCAGCAACTGGAACAAGGAGAGAAAGGCCAGTGGAGGTCCAGCCCAGGGTGTATTTTGTTGCTCTCCATCAACTGGAGGTTTGGTCCCCCAAGTCCTTCCTGTCTGTGACCTCCTGGGCTTTAGGAGCAAGGCATGAGTGTGCAAACTTGGAATCATGGAATGATTTCCCAAAAAGTGGGAAGGACCCCCCAAGGATCATCCACATCAGCTCCTGGCCCTGCACAGGACACCCCAAATCCCCCCCTGTCCCTCAGAGCGTCGTCCAAGAGTTCTGGACATGTTCCCCAGGGTTTTCCTTCGTTCTTCTCCACCCCCTGCCCCTCTTTATTTAAGGAGTTGGGGCTTCATTTGTCCCCTGAGAACACAGAAACATCCACAGCAACAATGCAGCAGGATTTCTGTAGAATCCTGGAATATCCTGAGTGGGAAGGGACCCTCAGGGATCATCAGGACACCCCAACAATCCCCCCCTGTCCAAACCCTCCTGGAGCTCTGGCAGCCTTGGGGCCGTGAGCAACTTCTACCCAAAAAGTTCCCACACCAACTCTGGATGGGAATGTTCCCTGGAGAAGGCTGTGAGTGCCCTCCAGGACCTGCTGGGACAGCTGGGAGCTTAAAATTAAATGTTTAATGGAGCGATGGATGCCCTGCTCCTGGAGAGACCATGGAATCACAGAGTGGTTTGGGTTGGAAGGGATCTTAAAATTCATCCAGTGCCACCCCCTGCCATGGGCAGGGACACCTCCCACTATCCCAGATGGCTCCAACCTGGCCTTGGACACTTCCAGGGATGGGGCAGCCACAGCTTCTCTGCCCAACCCCTGCCAGGGCCTCCCCACCCTCCCAGGGAAGGATTTCTTCCCAATATCTCATCCAAATCTCCCCTCTGGCAGTGGGAATCCATTCCCTCCTTGTCCTGGCGCTCCACGAACATATGGGACAGCACACAGGGGAACAGCATCCCAAAAGCCACCAGCCAGACATCCCTGGAATGACCCAGCTCCAACCCCTGCCGTTGTTTCAGGGCGAACACGGAGATTTTCCAACCGGGATCGTGGCTCTGGGCTCCCAAATCCCTGCTCAGCCTCTCAGCCTGAGCTGATACGTGACAGCTCCGGGAGGGAGGGAGGGGGGGCTGCAGAGGGAACAGCATGAGGGTCTCCTTAAAGGGCTCCTTTCTCATGGAATACTTTCTCCACCTAGTCATTTCCTTACCTCATCCAAACACAGCCACATTCCTCATGTTTAACTGTTTGGACT